CAATGCAACTCAGTGTTTTGGTTAAGGCTGCATTGAACTGAATTTCTAGCGATACATTTCCACGTCTTACTAGACTGAGATGTTCAGTGCCAGTTTCATTCAGTTCAAACACAAAAAGTGCACTTCCAAGTAAAAATTCTTTTCTGCTGATAAAGTTGCCTTTACTTTCTCTCTTTACATTCACACCATCAAATAGATTCAGATAGGTATCTGCATCATCTGCATTGGATGCTCTCCCAGGGAGACTGACACCATTGACATTCAGAGTAACCTTTTTGATCATACTCGATTGAAAGTTGTATGGGTTCTTCACCAAAGAACCTGACATACTACTGCTCTCAACAAATGCAACTGTGTATCGATGGGCGACAGGATTTGAGATATTTTCAATAGTAAATGATTCAGTAGACACAGGAATAGTGGTTGATTTGACTTCTGTCTTCACATAGGGATACAGTGCATTGTTTGGTTTCCCATTGGTCTTTTCTTCAAACAAGGTGTTATGAGCCAGAATTAAAGCTGGGTTCACTTTCAAATAACACACTTTAAGTGCCGCATCTAAAATGCTTATTTTGTATTTAGCATTAGCAACTCCACTCATAAGACAAAACTGAGGATCGGTTCTATACAAGGTTACATTCAATTTTACTCCATTAATCAAATAGCGATCCATGTTGAACACATCTTCAAACAAATTCCCAACCATTGTGATCTCTTGACTTTCAGCAATGAAGTCACCACGTTTCAACAATCCATCATTACCGCCAGCAACAGCATCAGTTGATTCAATGTCGTCATTGTCATTGCCAGTATCTTTATAGAACAACTGTGATGTTAACTGAGAATTCTTGGCATCTGCTCCATAATTCAACAATGTCTTGAACATGCTTTTATAGGGATAGTGATTATTTGCACTTGATACCAATTGATTTCCTAGGGAAACAGACATTTGCGAGATCAACGATTGTAAAAATAGGTTAATGGGCCCAACTTTCTCATCCTCAGCCAGTGAAGATGATGTAGCATCATCATGCACCACTTTAAGTTTCACATGTAGTCTTGTTCTCTTCAAATCAATGTACTCACTACCCTGATTAGGGATAGCAAATTCCAATGGTGACGAGTCATTGATTTGGCTTAATGGACGTACATCATTGAAATAGAACATCTCTGTGGTTGTTGTGTAACTTGGAAGCGAAAAAAGGGAGTAAGAATCTGGGAGATATTCCGAAAAGTTACTGCTGGATAAGAGCGCCATTGTGTTAACTGAAAATATCGTTTCCTGCAACAGGTGTGCACGTTAAAACATTAGCTGTCTTAGAAGGAGTAGTGTTCTCTGTCTGACGTATCCTCTTGGTAGTGATGATCTGTTCTCCTGCAGCTCTTTTTAAAGACTTGCGTCGTCTCTCTTTGGCATCTGCTTTCTCTACTGTGCTCTGAGTCTCTGATGTCATTTGCAATTCAACTGAAGGTCCTTCTTCTTTTCTTTTCACTGCATGAGATGGTATTACTTTAGCTGATAATTTTCCATTGTGGTATTGCTGGTGACTTGTGCTCAGTTTCTTGAAGTAATGTTTCCAATTTTCATAGTGAGGTACATAGAGAGGATAGTCTTCCATCTTAACTTGCAAATGGATATCGCTGTAAGTGAAGTGTTGCACTGGTCTCCTCGCTCAAGAATGACAAGGCCACTTCATCACTGGGTTTTATAACAATTTCTATGACAGGTGATTCTTTCAATACCACATGAATATTATATTCGTTTGCAAAGGTGAAATTAGGTCCCAACCTCAAGTCAATGCGTCTCAGCAATGGTAACTGAGCATCTCCTACCAGTGAACTATCACACAAGTTGCACAGTATGTTTACATATGGATCTTGGATTTTGTCCACATCAGTCAGTTTCCCAAAACTCAACTCTGTTAATGAAACAACCCAAAATCCATCCAACACCAGTCTTTGATTCAGTTTCACACGGAAATGATAGGGGCTGTTGTCCTTATAATAGTTTTCTTTTGAATCTGAAGACTTAAGGAAAATATATATCTCCATCACAAATCTTTCAACTGACTTTCCTCCACAAAAGAATCAAACGTACTTGGCCATCCTAACCATCGCACAAGAACATAGGTTTTACCTCCTCACGTTGACGTTCAGGATTTTTCCACCTGCCACCAATGTCCTCACCTTTGTTTACTTTTTTTGAAGTTCTTGAGTATAAAATGTTCCTTTAATTTGTTGATCATGAAAGTCCCTAATTCTGTACAAGGGTATTTCTTGCCTTTTGTAGCGATGAGCTATTTTGAAACAATTCTTGAGTCCAGCGTAAAATCAAGTTCTTTACTGAATGGTTTCCTCAGATATGGAATGCACGAACAATATCTCCAACCTTATATTTGAATTTCTTCACTACATACTTGATTTACTCTTGAGGTGTTTCCTCAAAGGTTTGACATATAGGTGATGCCATACTTTCAATTCATTGCTTTTATTCACTTGTGCTGGTGATAAATAAGGCAGTGATGAATGTAAAGTGTGATTGTAATTCTGTACCAGTTGAGGCAATATAGAAAGGTATTCTTTTTGGTGTTGTTATGTGTCATATAACGCGTGATCAAAGATTTCAGTGTTCTGTTGAAACGTTCCACATAATTGCTTTTAATGTTTTCATTACGTGTGATGATGTGGGTGATGTTTTCCTTTTCAAAAATGATTCAAATTCTCCTCGAACTCAGATCCTGCATCAGTACCGAACTTTCTTTGGTCGTCTTGATTTGAGTATCTTTTTGAAAGATTTCACCACTGTAAGCGGTCTCTTATTCTCCAAAGGCGAGACAAAAGCATAAGCGTGAAAAGAATGTCCACGACTACCAACAGATATCTGACACCATCATTCCATTTCATGTACCTTGTCATATCTGCTAAATCTGCATCAAACATTTCATTCATTGTATTAACTCTTACTTTCATCCTTTTAAATTTATGTCTAACTGGTTTGTGTAAACTGTAAGCATCTTGCTCATTCACAAACCGTTTCACCTTCCTCAACCTGATATTGTGTTGCTTGTTTTCTTCAATTCATCAACGCAGTTTAGATGGACCATAGAAAGCACCTGGGTTTTGTGGGTTGAAATAATACTTTTCTAATGCACTGTTCTTCTTTCGAGAACTCATGATGAATTGAAACAAGGCAATGTGTTGAACAAGATTTTATACAACTAAAAAAGAAGTGAACAGAATTTATTTCACCACAGAAAATTCTATACATAACAACATCAGTTGAACATAGCAATCATCATACACAATAAGATAAGAACCAATGATCGTCATCTCAGTCATATGTCTTCTGTTGGAATGCAACAACTTATACTGTGAGGATATGTCCATGAAAGTCCTGAGATATCATGTCATCCACCATCCCTCTGGATCATGATAACACATACAGTTCATCAGATCCATACAACATACATGACACCGAACCTGTCCACTATTGCAACTGATATATCGCAACATATTATTATGACAGCATACACTACAATTCTTTTTGAAGAGGAGTTAGTTTGTGTTCTTCATAAGGATCATCCTCTACTGCATTTGACTCTTGTTGCTCAATATCTTCCATAAGCTGATTGTAATCCTGCCTCCAGTCGTTTGGGGTAGTAGATTGACAGTCGGCTACGAGTGTCTTCATCCACAAACAAGTTGACTTCACTGGAAACATCTAGGTTAGCTTCAGTTGGAGGAGGTGAAATAGGTTCTATAACAAGCGATGGTTGACTTGAGTTCTTGTCCATTACCCTACCAACAAAAAGAAAAGAAAAAGATATGAATATATAACAAAAATTGATGATGTTACAAATTAAATAGACAGAACACAGTCGCATGTAACACAAATATATACTTACTTTGCTTTCTTAACCTGCTGTTTCTTTGGTTTCTTCACACTGGGCTGAAACAGATCATCCTCCATTTTTCTGCTTCTCTTCTTTTCTTAGCAACAACTGTTTTCTGTGTTGTTGCTGTCTCTGAAGTTTGCTCTTGAGCAGAGGAGAAAGATCCTATGAGATGAGTGTAATCCGTCAACCATTTCAAGAAAGCAGGTGACATTGGTTGAAGTTTCCCTTCTAAGGCTTTGGTCTTCTCCAACATATCCATATAAATGGTTTTGTACAACTCACTCGATCTCATCATAACTTCATGTAGATAAACCTGACTATCAAGAATATCCTTTACTTTCAGAAATGTATCATCAAATGTCTCCTCTGAGGAAAAAGCAACACGTTTCACATCCACACTTTTCTGTGCCATCATAGAGAATATGTAGGAGATAGACGATTTTCAACACCTTCTTGCCTCAAGTTGGTGATAAAACTGATTTGAAATAGCTAAAACGTTTGAGTGTAAGATAGGATTGTAGAGAATGGTTTGTCTGATTGGTTTATGTGTAATACACATTCAGTTTGATTGGTTAAGAGATATGGAATGATGAGAATTTTGCTTCAAGTGATTGAAATAGATGCAAATATGTGATGTCATTATAAACAATTCTGTGATAATATTTGAAATTTGTTAAGATAAGAATTTGGTTTTGTATAGAAGGAATGTGTACTGACAAATGTCGTATCTATGGAATGTGAGTTAGCGCACCTGTATATACCTGAGGAGCAGCTGTAGGAATGTCGTTTCACCTCTATGGTTACTCCTACGCTCCTTAAGGAATGTCTTTGTCCTGCTCTATGCTCCTTAAGGAATTTCTTTTGATCCTTAAGGAATTTCTTTTGAGCCTGTAGGAATTTCTTTTGTTGTAACAACTGAACCTATGGAATGTCATTCATAATGTAATGAACCTACATTCTTTAAGGCTGAGCCTGTAGGAATTTCTTTTGTTTGGTTCAGGAATGCTATTGTTTGGTTCAGGAATGCTATTGATTGGCTCAGGAATGCTATTGTTTGGTTCAGGAATGCTATTGTGTGGCTGTGACTGATTACTTATTACCTACTAGAGCTGAAGGTCGCGCGTTCCATCCCCGGCCTCGTCATACCGAAAGACCTTAAAATATGGTACTTGTTGGTCCCTGCCTGGCGATCGGCATTAATGGGCACAACAAGGACGGGTTGGCTCGGAGTCGGTATAAATGTGAATGGGGTATTCATGCTTCACTGCGGCATGGTATCTCAGTTAGCTAGCACTATAAAACCAGCTTAAGTCTGGGCTAGTACAAGCAGCCTGACATATGCATACACGTCGTCATATGAGCGACGACACCATTTCACCTCACCTCCATGTTAGACCCTGTCATGGTATCTCTGTTGGCTAACAATACAGCCAGCATTTAGTAGGGGCTTCTGTACTAGTTTGTTAAAAATCATGACTTAACAGGTACTTCTCGGGTTGTGTGCTTCTGATGAATTGGCAAAGACACTTTTTGGTGAAACGTTAACTAAAGTCCGCTGTGATGTGCCAAACAGTATGTGACGAATAATAAGTCAGATCACCCGTCAAACTAAGAGTATCTGATAAAAACTGAAACGTCAACAAAATCACGAAAACGAACTCATTGTCCAAGCGATCATCATCATCATCATCATCATCATCATCATCATCTCATAACACATCCATGCAGTCCATGCTCAAAGCGCAGATAGAATGTAACAAATTACACAGTTATAGTTGAAAAGGCTGTCCTGAACAAATGTGTTTTTAACTGGGATTTGAAAGTGACAAAATCAGTACAGTCCCTGGGATTCTGTGGAAGTTTGTTCCAGGCCACTGGTGCTGCATAGGCAAAGGATCTGTTTCCATACTGCACTGTTCTAGTTTTAGGGACAAGAAGAAGACTTTTATCTGGTTAACTGAGCGAACGAGAAGGCTTGTACAGAGAAAGAAGACTGGATAACTATGTAGGGGCAGTTCCAGACAGACAGCGGAAGATAGAGAAGTTTAAACTCAATTCTGAAATCCACGGGCAGCCAGTGTAGAAAGTATAGAAGAGGATTGATATGATCATTCTTCTACGATCTTGTCACAAGGCGGGCTGCTACATTCTGGACTCTTTGTAGCTTTCGTATCTGAGACTTGGTTGCACCGGTCAACAGACAGTTGTAATAGTCAAGTCTGCTCATGACAAGGGATAGAACAAGAGTTGTTGCTGTTTCAGTTGTCAGGTATTGACGGATACTGCCAATGTTCCGGAGTGAGAGGAAGCAGGTCTTAACTAGATTAGAGACATGATTGTCAAGTGACAAATTTGAGTCTAGGATTACACCAAGATCTCTGACTTGATCTGCGAAAGGAATATGTGAGTTGTCGAACTCGAAGGAATCAATAGCACACAGATCCCTCCGTTTCACTGGACCCAGGAGAATAGATTCGGTCTTGCTGCTACTCAATTCTAGTTTATTTACTAGCATCCAGGATTTGATACTGACACAGGATTTGACACTGACACAGCATTGGGACATGTCTCTCGAGACAATATCTGTTTGGTCCTTGTCAGGAGTGAAGCATCTGTACACCTGTGTATTATCTGCATAGTGATGACGATTCACACGGTGCTCATCAATTACGCTTCCGAGCTCTGTTATGTACAGTGTGAACAGGACTGGTCCTAGGACCGACCCCTGTGGAACACCATACTTGATGCTGGCCGAGTCAGAGTAATGACCATCAATGATGGCGGTCTGAACACGACCCGACAGATACGACTGGAACCAAGTAAGAGCTGTTCCGTCAATGGAGAAATCACCCCTGAGACGATGGATGAGTTCGTCATGGTCGATGGTATCAAGGGCACTGCTTAAATCGAGAAGGGTTAATATACCAACTTTGTGTTCATCAACACCACGCCTCAGATCACCGAGGACCTTGACTAGTGCCGTATCAGTGCTGTGGTGACCACGATGTGCAGACTGGAGATTTTGGTTCTTTGAGAGGCATTTTAGAAGTTGTGAAGATGAAGGAAAACTAAGTTCTATGGATAGTCAACTTCTTTATTGCAATGAGTGCATAGAGCACATGATGTGGGTTTACATCTCTTGATCAGCTTGTGTACTTCCTCCTCACTGAAAGATCTGAATTTAGTGAGCTTCTGCTGATTACAAACACTACTGTCTCTGGACCGACTGATAGCTTCAAGATCAACTTCACTAGGGTCAGACACAGACATGTTGTTTCCATCTGCTATAGAGTCACGGATCTTTTGGATTTTGTTCATGAAAACCTGCTCGAAGCGCTGTGGAAGAGCCTCAGGGGCATGAGATGACGGAAGAGGGTGCGTGGAAACCTTGCCAAGAAGACGGGACATGTCTGTGTAATGATTTAGAATCGTGCATTGATGCAGTGATTTCACTTTTGAGGGATGCTTATTTAGCTCGCCTTATTTCAGAGTTGACCTTGTTTCTGGCTTCACAAAATATTTGCCTGTCCACTTCAAGGCGTGAACGTCTCCAAGCTCTCTCGGCACGGCGACGCCTCTGTTTAGCAGCTAGTACTTCTGTTGTCATCGTCCATGGCATAACAGGTCTGTCTGTTATCCATTTGTCCTTAACTAGTGCATGTTTATCCAAGGTCTCACAAAGCACAGAGTTGTACAGATTTGCGAGTTCATTCGGATCAGTGGGCGGACACAGCACGAGGCTGCTGGCCGATAAATCCCCACTGAAAGCTGAGTGGTCAATACCTTTTATGTTTCTGTACTTTATGAGCTTCTTTGGAAGAGGAGGCTTCACTGTGTCCAAGAAGAAGGAAACCAGATAGTGATCAGATGTTTGGAGTTCAATTACAGTTGTGTCCACAACACAGCGCACATCCTTAATGGCCACAACCCAATCCAGATTGTGCCAACTCTTGTGTGTTGGAACTGTTACCAACTGTATGCACTGCAGGGATTCAAGGAGTTTTCTCCTTTTGAGGCATTGCACATTGCCTTCATCATTAAAATCTCCAAGGGCAATGAATCTTGAATGCGTGATACACTTTGTTTCCAGCAATACGGAGAATTCGTCATAGAATTGTTGAAAGGAAAGTTTATTTCTGGAAGAGGGAGGTGGTCGATACAAGGCAACAACATTTGTTGCAGTTTTGCCAGCCGTTACGACAAAATCAAGACTTTCAAAAGAGAAGACTGAAGAAGCATCGTCAAGTATTTTCACGTTGAGATGCGACTTGTAAACAATGGCCACGCCCCCACCACGTGATGGACGGGACTTGTGTTTAAGTTCATAGCCTGATGGTGTCACTGAGGCTATTTTGGATTCATGTCCTGATGGTCGGAGCCACGTCTCAGTTAAAACCAAAACGTCAATATCTCTGTCAGTCAACAAGTCAGATATTTCTTCACATTTATTGCAAGCCGAGCGTATATTGAGTAGAGAAACTTTAATATGTTTGTTGGTATCTTAGGGGGCGTGATGTAGATCAGATTATTGGCATTCATCGACCTCTGATTGGTTGACTTGCATCTGGAACACTCACTAATCACACTGATTGGTCGTTGTTTATTTCTACCTGCCCTTGTCCCTCGCCTGAAAGGACGGCGGTGTCTGTGATTGGGAGGTGTGATGAAATCAATTGGTGAGAGTAGACCAGCAGCTTGGTATTGATAGATCCTTAGCCCAACATGAAGTAGTTCACTCCTGGTATATGTAATCCAATTGTTCTCAGTTGTCAGTAGCAGTTCCACTCTTCAGTAAGAGCGTTGCCGAGTTCCTGTGGACTTTCTGGAAACACCTGGCATCGTGTGAAGGCAACCTGCAGCTCGTTCCATATGTGCAACTCTTATTCAGTCCAAGGTCTCCCAAGGTCCTAAGTATGAAACAACTACTCGGGTACAATGAGACCGTGTGTTATCGCCCATGACGTTGAAGTCGGATACCAGGTATACCGATCCAACTCACGATCCAGTCTGATGCTCCTCCATAGTTGTCGAGTTCGGCTATATTAGAATCTTTAAATCTTCTGTTGGTCTATGCCAGTTGAAGCCTCCTGCAGCTGAAGACGGGTCTTGCAGTTAAAGGGTCGAACAGGGTCATGATTTCAAGGTTGTAAGAGCGCTTTCAGGTGAGTGGGTGAGTGAGTATTTCAGCAAAATCACGCGGAGGACACCAGCAATGGGATTCAACCGGATCGAACCCGGGTCTTCGGCGTGACGAGCGGACGCTTTTACCACCAGGCTACCACACCGCCCCGTTGTCAGTTAAAAGGAATGAATATATGTAACGCCAGTTCAAGACAAAATCAATTTGACACGAAGGACAAAATAGCAGTGAAAGTTACATGAATGGACCACTAAATATCGACGATGAAACCTGGGCCTAGATTTTCGAAGCTCTCTTAGCGCTAAGATAGTCGTAAGTGCCATACATTAACATACGACTATCTTAGCGCTAAGAGAGCTTCGAAAATCTAGGCCATGGGCCCTCAAAGCGATCGTAGCGACAGTCGTAAGTCTATGTTAAAGTATGGGAGTTACGATGCCTTGGCGAATCGGGAAAAGTTGCTGATTTCACAGAGCAGTGCGGGTCATACGATGGGGCACACAACTGAACAATCATAAAGCTTAATGTTGTTCCATATAAATATACTATTCACACTTTGCTAAGGATCAAATCATGGATTAACAGAAAACTATGATGTGGGGTCAAAGTTGGTTTAAATATCTAAGCTTATTGCAAGCATGGATCCTATGTTTCAGTTTGTCATTGCATCTTGTGGATCCATACCTGCTATTGACAGGTGTTGTGTACTTGTCAATGACTCGTTCCATGATTTGCAAAATGGTTGATTGGTACCATGAAAACCATTTTTATGGTTACTCATATATCAAGTGCATAAAGTTAGACTAAAGTGGCTGCTTGCCTAAAGAGGGGTTACCATATTATTATTTATCGAGTTTTAAATGGATATAATTTCAAATTAAAGATCTACGTTTAAGTAAAGTTGTGAATCCTCATCAAAGTGTGAGTAGTATATATAGTTGTGGCCTGACTTTGACCCACAGTCCTGTCTCAAGGTAGTAACGTGACATTTTCTCTCTGCCATTAAGTTTAGTGCTAGCAGACAAAGTAAGGTTTAACTGAACGTCCCTTTCTACAGAATACAGTGCAACCAGAAATTATTGAAAATTTAAAGATTGTAAAAAAGATATTTTTCACTCATTACTCGCGTATTAAATGTGAATATTAGCAGAACATAACCCCAGATTCAAAGACAGGCGGGGCATACTACTGATCCACGAAGTTAGAAAGTCGTGGTCCATGCTGTCCCAATATCGGACCACCTCTTCTTTCATTTCAGTAATATTTGTCAGATTTTCCTTATTGACACTTTGCTTCATAAGTCCCGAAACATTTTCTATTGGATTTAGGTCAGGGCTATAGCTTGGCCAATCTAATAATGTCATATTTTGGGTCCGAAACCAGGCCTGTAAATGCTTTGAACGATGTTTTGGGTCGTTGTCCTGCTGGAAAATCCAAAAATTTCCATAGAACACGTGAGCAGATGGAAGTAAATGTCCCTCGAGAATATCTGTGTACCGCTCACTGTTCATATTCCCTTCAAATACACAGAGGGGCGTTGCCCCTAACACAGATATGCCACCCCACACGTTAAATTTCGGACTGTTCTTTGGGCGCTGATACAAAGGTTTTTCAGTTTGTTTGGTCCAGAATTTCAGTGTTTTAGGAAACAGCCACACAGAACTTTCATCTGAGAAAATCACATTGTCCCAGTTAAAATTTCTATGCTGTTAACACCAGTTAAACCTTCGCTCCTTTTGTTCAGGTTTCATGATCGGTGATGGAATTCCTCGACTTTTCAACCAACCCATTGCATGCAGCTCAGTTCTATTTGTCTCCTTACGTACAGCCACAGTTCCTCTATCAATCATATCCAGCCTTAAGTTTTCTAAACTCCTTCGTTTGCTTTTAGAAACAAGAATACCAAGCCGCCTCCTGTCACCGACAGTCAATTTTCTGGGCCTATCTGCGCCTCCCTGATGTTCAATGCCATATCCATTTGCAATATTTTTCAAAACACGATAAACAGTGGACAAAGGGATGCCTGTTCTACTTGAAATCACTTTAGCTGCTCTGATGTCCTTGTTATAATACTCTAAAATCAACTTCCTCTTCTATAAATCATCCATACTGAGGATCACTGAAAATGTCGTCTGCTAGCAAGTAAACAAAGGGGGATAACTCTTCACAAACTAATGAAAAAGGATTAAGGGAGTTGTCTCTCTTGAATGAAACCAAACACCTGATAGCTGGTCAAGGTTGTTTATACTAGAAATCCAATTAAACATATTCCTAAAATTCTCAATAATTTCTGGTCATACTATACTGGGAGTGACAGTCACCGCATACAACCCCGAGGTCGCGATTGACCTGGCATCCATGAAGTCATCTTGATGATAACTATAGGGAGTCCATGATGGACAATAGCTACAATGAGTTGTGTGACATGCCTTATGTCATAACAGTGATCGTGGACGGCAAGCGATACTATCTTCCTACAACGTGTTGTCAGCGTGTAGGACCGACCAACCGACCGACAGCTGTAGATGACGATCGAGTTGATAGAAGCCCCTAAACCCAACACCATCAAAATGTTCCCATACTGAAATGTAACCTAATTATTAGACTGATTTTTCTATTTTACTGATAGATCCACAAATTACAACAGATGAGCTCCTACAAATGAAATACTCTATACATTTCGTGAAAACCCCCGCATTTTTCCACTATACTGTGTTGAAACATGCATTTACCAATGGGGAAACGTATGTCGATTCCTCTCATATTGGTCAGTCGAGCTCTTCCAACTTCTGATATAATTCGGGTTTGTACAGAACTGTCGATTTCGGGGCAAAATAGGTCCCTATAGTCCCTATATATATGAAGACACCGGAACCGAATATATCCCTAGTTCCCCCTGATGACTACTGCTCCCTTTTGGGATACCGACCCACGAAGATCCGAGGTAGAATTGGTCTTCGGCAACCCATGCTTGTCGTAAGAGGCGACTAACGGGATCGGGTGGTCAGGTTCGCTGACTTGGTTGACACATGTCATCGTATCCCAATTGCGTAGATCGATGCTCATGCTGTTGATCACAGGATTGTCTGGTCCAGACTCGATTATTTACTGTCCGCCGCCATATAGCTGGAATATTGCTGAGTGCGGCGTAAAACTAAACTCACTCACTTTTGGGATACCGGCAGAAACTAGATCCATGTACTGCCTCTGGTAACGTTTGCCTTCCATCGTCATTTAGTGACAGAAAAGATTCCCGCGTCACTTCCATGTCTCCGTTCACAGAACAGACCCTTATACTCAGGGACCGTTGCTCAGTTTAGAACCACTGGTATGTCTCATTCAGACTCGGTTTATTTACGGGCACCTTGGATAAAAAAATGTTGACTTGTTTCAAACAACATTCACATCAGTAAATGAGCAACCTCTTTATATAGAAACGTGAATCGATTGCCTAAGACCGGTTAACTCTCAAACCACGCGTCGAGTTTATTTAAAAGACGTTACTCATGAGGCTATTAGCGAGAGCCCAAGAATTCAATTACCGACACCTGACTGCTTACAAAATACACTGTCTGTCATCTTTGGAACTATAACTGCCAAAGACAAACACAAAACACTATTTCACACGCGTCGCACGTGCCGGATCCAGTCGTTTGCTCTCTTCAATTTGCTCGGCAGCAGACGACATCAAGAACTTGTGCAAACATTAACAACGGGCTGTTATTGCGAGACATATGACCATCTCATGTTCTAACACGACGGATAAGTGGCGTCGATTACAATATGATGGGCTGTCAATGCCATCTGTAAATCAGACTCATGAAGCCGATCTGGTGATATTAGCGGAGCGCAATCTCCCACCACCATCAGAGTCTCCAGGGAGCTACTACGTCCCGCGTCCAGGATACTGCCGAGCTGTGGTAGGTACTGTTTCATCATCTTACCTTACAGAGGAGCTTTAGTCTCCGGAACTTTCGCCATACTCAGAGAGTGTGGGTTCGAATCCGAAATTGGACTCAACCCTAAAATAACCTTTTTGTTTGTTGATAACAGCCGTACCCAGCAATATTCCAACTATATGACGGTGGTCTGTAAATAATTGAGTCTGGACCTGACAATCCATTGATTGACCTCATGAGTATTGGGATACGATGACATAATTATGTCAACCAAGCCGTAAAACGTGTCAGAATTTGTACATACACTGAAAAAGCGTTCCCCGAATATAACGTGTGTTTCATCATATTATTATAAAGTCGGTCTGGTGTGGTGGCCTAGAGGTTAAAGCATTCGCTTGTCAGTGCAAAGACCCGGATTCGATTTCCCACAATGGTACAATGTGTTAAGCCCACTTCGTGCGTCCCGAGATACTCCTGGGCTCTTATTCTGGAAAGGTTTGTAGCCCCTACGGACTTCTTAATCCCATTCTTAACACATTGGCTACGATCAAAGTTAAGAATTCTTAAGCCTACGAACGTTTTGAAAATACGGGCCCTGGGATAGGTTTAAAAGCGGTTTAAAAGCATACTCATTCACTAAATGAAAGCCTTTGGCAAACACAGGGTTCCAATTCGCTGTGCAGATATGCGTGTCTCTTCGAAATACCTAGTCATATTTATTACTATTCAGTACAGTGATCTGTCTTTCCTTCGGTTTTGGAACTGGGATTTCTTGTGTACGGGTCAACTTGTGTGGTCACATCTCTGGCTAATTCCATATACCGTTAAGTCAACTTTTGTGGTGTTAGGGTAGTTTACTAAATTCATGTTGGGAGTTACGACAACGATTGCTGTAGTGTATCCTTTTATAGATCGGCACTGACTAAATCAATTACAGATAACGGACCCATTACAATCAAGATACTGATATTTACCGCCCCATCAGCACAAAATCTCATTTACTTCCGCGGTCATGTTTATATAACGATAAGGCCTTAGCTCGGTTCTCAGAGACAATATTTTGAAGACGATTGTCTGATGGAATTGCAGATAGAGACATTTGTTTGCTTCCTATTGTGTTATTGAAGGGGAAAATGGCAAATGTAACAACACACCCGCCTTCCTTGAATGTTAAACATGGGTACAATGTGTGAAGCCCATTTCTTGTGTCCCCCGCCGTGATATTGCTGGAATATTGCTAAAAGCGGCGTAAAACCATAATCACTCACTAGAAGGTTAAACGTTTTTCAAACGGACTCTTTGCCAAAAAGATAAATCGTTCAATATTTCATCTTAGTCTTTGTGACCAGGGCAAAAATACTCTATTTCGGTACAGCTCGTCAATTTCACCTGTCCTTTAACTTTCATTCCCATAAGCAATTAGATTACCGTTATTGGCCATGCCAGCAGGCCCCAGATGTATAATAAACTGGACGCTACATTTGGCTTCCAGGGGCTGTAGAAGTGATATTTTGATATTTTATTATCATGTGTTCGTCTTGGGGAGATGATAGTTTGAGTAGATGGTTTTTCTGTGCAGAGACCATTTATATTCTCCGACAGTAGTGATGAGATCCCTGGTCCAGTGAGTGAGTGAGTGAGTATGGTTTTACGCCGCTTTTAGCAATATTCCAGCAATATCACGGCCGGGGACACCAGAAATGGGCTTCACACATAGTACCCATGTGGGGGATCGAACCAGGGTCTAGCGCTTTAACCACGAGGCTACCCCACCAACCCCCTTTGGTCTAGTGGATGGAGCTTCTACCTGGAGAGCGGAAAGGCGGTGGTTTGATACTCGGTCGAGCCATAATAAAAAAGACCTTAACAGATGGTACTTGTTGTCTCCCTACCTGGCGATATAACAAGGACAGTCAGTCTACTGTTTCTGAGAGAAATATCCACGTAAAACTGTGCCATGGTATCTCAGTGAGCTACCGCGCTCAAGACCGCCTCCGTGGTGTAGTGGTTAGAGCGTCCGCCCGGCGAGCGCAAGGACGCGGGTTCGATCCCCAACCGCGTCATACCAAAATACGTTAAAATAATGTACTTGTTGGTCCCTGCCTGGCGCTCGGCATTAATAGGTACATCAAGGACTGGTCGGCTCGGAGTCAGCATAATGTGTCTGAGTGGGGTATTCATGCTTCACTGCGGCATGGTATCTCAGTGGGCTAGCACTATAAAACCAGCTTCAGTCTGGGCTAGTACAAGCAGCCGCACATACACATACACACGCATGCACGTCGTCATATGGGCGAAATATTCTCAAGCACGACGTTAAAGCTGGTAAAGAGTTTGATTCCTGTATCCACCCTGGTTTTGATCTTTGGTTTGTGGTAATACACACAACGGCGGATTCGCTGAAAGACTTGCAGCAACTTTACATATTAAAACGTCATGTCTTATTACGACTGAATATATACTCATATAAAAAAGTAGGGGAACCTCAACTTTCAATTTGGATAGGAACTATAAGCGTTAACTACTTTTTCAGTTGGCAGACATGTATCTTATGACTGCAAAACCATTTCACTTTATCACCCCTAAAAACAACGCATGTAATGCACGTGCACAAGGCAGTAGCCCCAGACACGTGCATGGGATGTCATTCTTGATGTTGACGGTTTTCAAGAAGGTCGATAAATCACTGTAGACCATTAATTTTGACAATCATCATGCATTATAAGTGGTGATGCACTCTCAAAACATTCATTATAATCATATCAACATTGATTGACTCAGTTATATCTCCCAATTTTTCAATCGTAAATTTAACATGAAGTTCCCCTACTTTTTTTAAAGAGTATATTAAAACGTCATGTCTTATTATGACTGAATATAGTTTACGCCGGTTTGTTTGCTTTTTGCTGGGTTTTGCTAAAGCGGCATAAATCACTTGTATATACATTATTTATCTCCAAGCCATGTTATTACGAGTGAATGCGTTTACGCTGGTATGCAATATCCAACCATATCATGGAAGGTTGGCTTCACACAGTGTAGTCCTGTTGGCGCGAGAGTAGACATGTTGACGCCACTGAATTGCCAGAACCAGAGACTCACGGTTCACATGTTTGCTTGTTTGTTTGTAGTTTAACGCCGTATTCAGCAATATTCCGGCTATATGATGGCGGTTTGTGAATAATCGAGTCTGGACCAGACAATACAATGATCAACAGCATGAGCACCGATCGAATGGTATACGATGACATACACTAAACGCCAAAAGAAACGTTACGCTCCTTCCTTAATGAATGTCTTAAAATCTACTCAAGTGAAGATGAAACTGTCTGCTGCATTGTGATGCGTGGACGTCCACTTCTTGGTCTGTCTGTCTGTCTGTAGCCCTGAATAAGTCTTATAACCGTGATACGGTGGCATCCGAGGCCGTTGGCAACAGCATTGTATGTCGACCCCATCTGCAACATCCCAGTGGCTCGTTCCCTCACTTCAGCTGTTCATCGTGGCATATTTCTCGTACTTGTGTCTCATATCATGCATTCTAGGCTCTCTTTATACCCTATAGAATCATTCTACAGATGAAATTGATGCAAATACTGCTTGAATATTGCTACGTTTTGGCGATTGATATTGCTATGTGTAAACAGAAAATGGAAAAATGTTACTTTGCAAGCAAAAATGTTAACAAAGATAATTCTAGGTGCTCCTAAACACTTTTTCACAATATCAAAGACATGTTTTACTTGTTTTCACTTATGCAATTCAGGAGAAAATGTTTTAAAAAACTGGAATCATAGGAATGATTCTTTTACAATTTTACACACTCTACAACAGTTGTTTCTTGTTTTAATACATGTAGTTGAAAAATGGTGACTTTTAATGGTTTATCTTTGTCTCAAAGCAGAATTTTATTTCAACCTTTCTTTTGGACATCTAAATCACTGTTATTCGTTTATTTCGGCAAGGTCGAAAATAGGACAATTTAACTCTTCTGAAAAAGATACATTTCACTTAAATATGAATGCGTTTGAGAATTTCTTTTCGTGATTTGCATAAACCTGTGTTGTTAAGCTTTCTTGTAAACTAATACCTTCTAACATATCTTTGATAGTTTTTCAGTAATTCATAAAGGTAGGAGGGTAACGTATCGTTTGACGTTTAGTGTAGGTGTCAATCAAGTTAGCCGCCTCTTACGACAAGCATTGGTTGCCGAAGACCACTTCTAACTGGGATTATCACAGGGGTCACTGCTCTCATGACTTACGGGGTCTGTTGTTGGATATTTTGGTAAAAGCATGAATTCAGATGATATAAGTACACACTTGCATGGATACTTATTGGTTCAGCTTCGTTGCAGATCCAGGAAGTGACGTCAAGTGTCAGACGGAGCACCTGGACATCGCACCGCAGTCGTGTTGCTCCAGAAGATCTCAACCCCACAGCGTCACCGCGTACGACCTGGAAGTACGGCGGTCTGGTCCAACGTGGAAGACTGTGGATATTCGACGGCATGTTTCAAGAGAACTGGAGCGTGAGCACGTTTATCTCAGATATGCTTAGAAACGTGACACAAAGTATCCTTGACATTTCGTCAGAGACAGAAGAGAATGACACAGATTTGGGTGATGCAGTATATAGAGACGAGATCTGGACAGGGCGAGTAGGGATATACGGTATAGGAGGAACGGCTATTGCCTTATTTGGACTTGTAGCCAATGCAATGGCAATTATAGTGCTGTCCCAATACAAACAAAAGTCGTCTGCTCCTCTGTTACTGATACTGTTGGCTCTGTGCGACTCCACGTTGCTTGGGTCGGACATGGTCTTGGAGACGCTCGCCACTCTGTCTGGCGGCAATGTCATCTCGGGGTCCTACAACGACTGGCTGAAGCCCGGATACGTCTACCTTTTCCATGTCTCCTACATTGCCCAGACAGGAACAACATACATGACTGTCCTCATCACCGTAGAACGCTACATCGCCGTCGTCAAACCGCTCCTTGCGGCGCGGTTGTGCAGCAGGTCGGCAGCTTGGAAAGCTAGCGCCGCCATCTTGGTTTGGAGCATTGTGTACCACACACCCAGGTATCTGGCTTATACTAATTACTATGAATACCAGGCCGATACCAATTCAACAAAGCTCATCTTCAACAGAACAGACTTTGGGAATGGGTTTTTCTATAAAGAAGTGTTTATGGTGTGGATTAATTTCTCGCTGGAGTTTTTTGTCCCAGCTGCAATCCTTGTGGTCCTCAACGTCTTGCTTATAAGAGCTCTTAAGAAGAGCAAAAGTTTCGAGGTCAGCCGGGCTGGTGCCAGGGCTCGGAAGGGACAGCGACTGACCGCAATGGTGTTGGCCGTGACATCTCTGTTCTTCTTCTGCGAGCTGTTTTCCGTCACCTCCCTAATCATCACCCGCAGCATCAACAATTACAGGGAGTGTTCCGTCTTCTGCAACAACTTCATCGCCCTCGCAGACACCATGGTGATCGTTAACTCCGCCTCGAATTTCTTCCTGTACTGCGCCGTCGGGAAGAGGTTTCGGGACATCTTCTTACAGATGTTTTGCCGGATCCCGTTCAGGACGTCGCGGTCCTCGTCCAGCAACACGCGTACCACGTCACAGGGCCACACCAAGATGGTCAGCATGACGAAGCTGGACCGTCGGAGTGTGGTAGCAAACTGATACAAGCTGGCCGCATGTTGTCCTGACCTCTGTCAAACATTCCTTCCATAAAGAGTGACTTTATCTTGCTTTACTCTTCACTGAGCAATAAAATAACTGCCACGTCGTCCATAACGACAAGATAGTGTCATTTAGGGAGCGAGTGAGTGGGTTTAGTTTTACGCCGCACTCAACAAATTACAGCTATATGGCAACGGTCGGTACATGATCGTGTCTGGACCAGACAATCCTGTGATCAACAGCATGAACATCGATTTACGCAAGTAGGATACGATCATATGTGTCAACCAAGTCAGCGAGCCTTACCACCCGACCCCGTAATTCCTCTCTTACGACAAGCATGGGTTGCTGAAGATCAATTCTAATCCGGATCTTCACGGATCCCGAGCAACGTGGGACGTGTACTGTACTCCCGGGATGACAGTATTAACTGCAATATTTATGAATAGACTTGTCTGGAACCAAATAAGCCGCATTTTACTAGTACTGATTACGTGTGGTATGATTATGTATTTACAGTGTAATAAAACGTAATTCACACAAGAGAAAGATTTATTACACAATTACGAAGTGGTTTTTTCTGCTGCAGTCTTCTATATTCAGCTGGGGCGGTGGGGTAGATTAGTGGTTAAAGCGTCGCTGGTCACGCTGAAGACCCGGGTTCGATTCCCCACATGGGTACAATGTGTGAAGCCACTTTCTGGTGTTCCCCGTCGTGAAGTTGCAGGAATATTGCTAAAATCGGCGTAAAACTAAACTCACTCACTCTATCTTCAGTGCAAATAAAACTAACTTACAGATAAATGTATCGCCAATCCTTCTGTTTTTTTGTTGTTTGTATAACAAGGGGAGTGTCGCGACTTTAAATTGAATGAGTAAGTTGGGTTTACTCAATTGGGAACTGTTTTCCGTAGAAAGGAATGTCTAAGTGGCGGTGTGTGGTCCTGTGTGTAGAGCTCAGGTCACAATCAGTTGAAGTTAAGCAACGTTGGTCGCGGACAGTCCTCGGATGGATGACCGTGTTTGGCAGCTTGACTCCTGAAAGTTTCTAGGACTTCAGTCCTGCCCCACAACGAAGCACATGTGACGCATGTGGTCTCACCTTAGGCAAGTGAGTTTGTTCAAAATTGCCTCTGTCCACCCAGCAGTAAAACTGGGTACCTGGTATGATACGATGGTAGTCTGAATTTGAACCTTGAGCACCTGACAGGCGACCGGTTGTATTCTCCACATGGAGCGTTCTGTACTCGTTGACCAGGGCTAATATGTCAGCGCTTTGAGCATGCAATTTGCATGGATAAACGCGCAATATAAATTGACTATTATTATTATTAAGTAGCTTCCCATCCCTTACAAATAATGGACCTCGGGCCTTGAGGAGGCATGGAGAATTACGAGGGTATTCCCCTCCTTAAATCATGTGACATTTCCTACATCCTAGTTCAGAATTTCAAAAATACTTTAAAAAAGTTAAATAAATATACGTCTGAATCTAAAAAATATAATCGGTTGCGGCCCCTCATTAAGCGACTGACGCTGTTGTAAGTATACGCGCTTAACTTGAACCGAGCACGTGCACTGAAACAACTACTCTGGCTCATTACTTCAGGAGCTCGCCATTCCATAGCATAATATAGATTTACATCACGGCTTAAAGTGTGGGGAATGTATACGTTGTTAAAGTCCCTATCCAGCCTTGTTAAGTTACATGGCAACTGCCGGACAAACAGCTAACCAGATCAACAGCTGACTGACTGACTGACTGAGTTTAGTTTTACGCCGCTTTTAGCAATATTTCAGCAATATCACGGCGGTCAACAGCTGACTAGCCTTTCTAGAACACAGTATTTGCATGGAACATCACGAAATACAAACAGATATAAATGCTCTACTCTGTTAGAGAAAATACATAAACAATTAGATGTACCAAATACTGACATACTGCTATGACGTCACTAATGTTTCAACTGCAGAATATCTGTGACGATTTATTTTATTGACCTATTTTTTTAATTAACCTAAGCACCTGTATTTCGAATGTACATGTTGCAGGGATCAAATCGCCGAAAATGCACGTGCAGTACGAGTATACGACAGTTCGTTATATTCGTGTTTGTTATAAAACATACTTTACTTTATTTATTTATATATTTTAACTTACAGTCTGCTGGCAAAAAACCAAACTCACTCACTCACTGTTGGCATACCGAAAGTCTTACAACGCTGGCTCATTATATTTGTAAGGAGTGAGTGAGTGAGGTTATTTTTACGCCGCACTCAGCAATATTCCAGCTATATAAGGCGGCGGTCTGTAAATAATCGAGTCTGGACCAGACAATCCTGTGATCAACAGCATGAGCATCGATCAACGCAATTGGGATAGGATGACATGTGTCAACCAAGTCAGCGAGCCTGGCCACCCGATCCCGTGTCAACCAAGTCAGCGAGCCTGACCACCCGATCCCGTTAGTTGCCTCTTACAGCCATGGGTTACTGAAGATCAATTCTAACCCGGAACTTCACGGGTATTGTAAGGAACGTCAAGGTACAAGTGTGAGATCCTTTACAAGACTGTATATACTAAACAGAAAAGTGTATGTTCATGGGTATTGTGAAATGACAATTCCCTATCAAATGGTCCGAATTAAAACTTCGAATGTGGTGTTCATGGTTGCATGGAAATAAATCAGAACATGTTGGAATCATTCTGTTGTTTAGTCGACTAAAATGGGGATCACGTGGATGGATGCGCATGCATTCGGTCACTCGTTTGCCTGGTAAACGAAATGTGACAAAAGACACTGGTCGGATTGCTAGACTCACTGATGTCGTGGAACTTTGTACTGTGAATAGGTTTATCAGCCACTGAGTTGTCTGCTCCAGACGCAACTATACAACAGGGGCTCCTTCCACAAAACAACCTTTACTAAGGTTAACCTTAACTCCCATTCTCTAACATTGAACTAAGGTTACCTTAGTGACTTACGATCACCTAATTGCTTTGTGAAAGGAGGCCCAGGTCGCCATCACACGCTATAATTCCTCAATGAAATGCCCGGGCGTGGATTTCTCTCTTACACTCTGTATACCCCGTGCGTAATCGCAAAGATAATAATAGTAGGAATTCGGTGCATAATTTTTACCAAGCGTTTAATCGAGGAAATACGGTAGGTGGAAAAAGACCGAGTGTGAGTGTAACAACAAAGACGTAATGAAAATAACCAGTAATGACACTGGAAAATATTTATTCCAACATATGTCAGGACGGAATGTGAAGGTGAACATCGAGAGCTATACAACATACAATATACAACAATACAGAGTTGCTATCGCGTCATTGTTTGTTATAACAGAATATGACAATGATAACACCCACGAAGTGGATATGGTAACTTGTTTATCTGATCGAACCAACAAATCGATCCGATGATGATGTCAAGACTGACTAGTGACAAGTCAGCTAGATATGGGAATATGCTTGAAGTGATGCAGGTCTAAGACATCTGTCAGTTTGGTGAAAAGCACCACATGTCTGTGAATGAGTGAGTTAAGTTTTACGCCGCTTTTAGCAATATTTCAGGGCCTAGATTTTCGAAGCTGTCTTAGCGCTAAGATAGTCGTAAGTTAATGTTAATGTATGGCACTTACGACTATCTTAGCGCTAAGAGAGCTTCGAAAATCTAGGCCCAGCAACAAAACGGTGAAGGACACCAGAAATGGGCTTCACATATTGTACCCATGTGAGGAATCGAACCTGGGTCTTCCGTGTGACGAGCGAACGCGTTACCACTTGGCTGCCCAACTAGTGACAAGAAACGCAGTCAGTTAGACATCAGCGGGATAATGGTTAACAACGATAAATACCACCCAAGGTTTCAGTATCAAACTCGTCATGCATAGACGTTTTATGGACACAATTAAACGTAATAAAAGTTGACAAAAGCTTGATGACTACAATAATTGTATGTGAAACGACGGGTATCGTTTATCTCCAAATCCCGAGAACTCGCAGCTGTGTAAAATATCGCTGTTTGGTAGTTATTGATAAACATTAACGGTATGATTGTGGCAATTGGAAATGAAACTCCAGGGATTTAATCACACACGTGTAGGTTTTAGGTCATTTCCGATAATTAAAACAAACGACTTTCTCCACTAGTTTAATATGAGCAGTCTGAATTGTCCATAAACAAGAGGAAATATCCAACACCACGCAGTTTGTAACATAAGCACTAAGTACACCCTATCTTTATCATATCAATAAAAGGTCAACGAAGTTTATTCCAAGCCCAAATAGAGGACAAAACAGCGTGAAACAGATGTCGTTTGCACTGCCGTATAGTTGTATTAATTCTAGACAGCTGGTCTGAGACAGCATCTCATGAAGTTGTACTTTCTGTAGAGGTGGTGAGGGGTTTAAGGTTGTGTTCAAGATTATCATGATCACAGGGCGACATGCCTGCAGGTGGGGAGCTTGTTCTGATCTCAACTATGACTGGTTAACAGGGCTAGCCAACTGCCACACCATGCGACAGTTTAACATGAATCCCCTGTCAGACACAGAATATGGACTCCTTACAGGGTCATTGTATTATTCCCCAGAGCCATGCAGGATAACAACAAGTACTCCCGGGAACCAGCATAACAGTTTGTGGGTGAGATTAGTTATACCCCGCTTTTAGCAATATTCCAGCAATATACAGGGGACACCAGAAAAGGACTTCACACATTGTACCCATGTGGGGAATTGAACCTGGTCTGCAGGACAAGCGATTACTTCAGCCAATAGGCTACCCCGCCGCCTCAGCAGCATCAACAGAGACCACACATTGATATGGTCATTCGCATCACATACTCGTCATGCAAACAACTTTAATGATCTAGGATAAAACCCATGTTGAAAAATAGCATTATTTTAACGAACTTGGCTCCCACTGTGGTAACACCCTTACAATAGAGACCATTAGATGTTACATTTATAGGGTTCGATTCCCCACATGGGTACAATGTGTGAAACCAATTTCTGGTGTACCGGGCGTGATATTGCTGGAATATCTAAAAGCGGTGTAAAACTTAACTGGCTCACTCACTATATTTATAGGCTCTCCTTAAAACAGGGGTGTTTCCACAGATTATCTACAGCACAGTACATACACACGATGTCTGAGTAAGCTGTCTTTGTTAAACCAATCCTGTCATTCTTCACAAGGTTCTGTATCATCATTAGTCAGTTGGGCAGAGCATTTGAAACAGATGCTAGGTGGTCATGTAAGATTAATGGATATCCAGATGAGCATGATAACCAGGGGTGGAAATAACTTTAAAATTGCTAGTGTACTCTGGTACAGTGGCACATGTAAAATCACTTGCCCTGATAATTTTTCCACTATACTGGCCGTTTTCTTGTTGACTTTTTAAATAAACAACATAATTAACGTTGGAAAGTCAACTGGACACTGGTACAGTGTGATATACAAATTTGCTTGCCCAACAGAAAAAAACACTGGACTCGGACGTCGGGCAATGGGTTATTTCCACCCCTAGCATCATGTTGGGTGCATCACCAACACGCTGTTGATATTTAATGGTCCTATCAATCTATAGACTTATCCATGTGCGAAATAGGTATTATGTCAGAAAGCGCACCTCAAATATCCAAATCATCACCATCATCATCGCCCTCCTCCTCATCTGGTGTTTTCCTGTGATAAATTGCTATCCTAAATGACAAATACCCAGGGCATGTCATGTTGCAACAAGAAATAGACTAACATTTGAGCAGCCATCTTTTCTCAGGTAAGAAACTTCTTAACTTGCTAGGAGTACATGCTGAGGACTTTTTGTAAAGTTAAGAGTAATTCTAAGAATAAAATCACTTTATTAATATGACTTAAGAAAAATCTTTCATTTAAGATTAAAAATTCATTTATTCTTAGAATTAACCAGAGTTAAGAATTATTTTTCACTCTTAGAATCTTTATTAATACGGCTCCTGGTGTTTTCCTGTGATAAATTGCTATCCTAAATGACAAATACCGAGGGCATGTCATGTTGCAACAAGAAATAGACTAACATTTGACAGAGTCTCCTGTCAGACTTGTAAATATTTGCAACTGTCTGATGAATCAACATTATCATTGATTGAAAGAGTGAGGAAACCTATGGAGGAACCAGAATATTCTCTAATATATTGGTTCAGAATAACTCACTTCTGTAACAGAGCAACCACAGCATGATGTTCTCTCAGTAATTGGCAAGTTGCCTAATTGGACTCTAAGAATGCTTCCTGTATTTTATGAGGTTTTTAATTTGGGTGTTTTGTAAACAGTTCATGGGCGAATGATCCTGAATCAATGTGGGCAACATGTGGCACAGGAACACCACAATGTATATGTGGGCTTTCCTTCAGTGTTACACTTGTATCACAAGTCAGCTTGATATGGGAATATGTTTAAGCCATGTAGGTGTTAAGCATGTATCACTTTGCAGGGCTCGATTTAGTGCTTTGTTACTTGCACTGATGCTAGCCAATATTACAAAGTGCAACGTATATTAGTCTAATTTGCACCAGATGCAGGTCAATTTTTGAGTGGGTAAACTTCTGAATAAAACATCTAAATAATTCAATAGCATATTCTGTTCAGTACATATTACCATAAAAGCAGTGTAATTGGAATTTGACTGGTGCAACTAGGTTTTTATCTCAGGTTGCACCTGGTGCAAGTAGGTTAACATATCTTAAATCGAGCCCTGCTTTGGTGACAAGCACCAGATGTGAGTGAATGAGTGAGTTAAGTTCTACGTCGCTCTTAGCAATATTCCAGCAACATGAATGGTGCTGCCAAAATCATGAAGATAATCAGGGTGCACATGTTCTTTGAAAGACTGACTGACTGAGTTTTGGTTTTACACCGTTTTTAGCAATATTCCAGCAACATCACGGCGGGGGCCACCAGAAATGGGTCTTTGAAAGAGCTTGTTCATATGCATAAATCTCAAAATTCATACATACTATTGCTTCAGTGAGAATGTTTTACATTGCTTTTAACAATATTCTCTGGTCGTGAGGAAGGACTAGGTACGATGCCTCATATGAATAAAGTTGTCATCCATACAATATCCTGCCTTTCTTATTTCTCATCAACTTCTAAATGCCAATCAAACAGATAATATTTACTGAGTGAGTGAGAATGGTTTTACAATACTATTCCTACAGCAATATCAGCAATATTCCATCAATATCACAGCAGGGGACACCAGAAATGGGCTTCACACATTGTACACATGTGGGGAATTGAACGTGGGTCTTCAGCGTGATGAGCAGATGCTTGAACCATTAGGCTACCCTCATAAGTGACATTTGTTGGATGTGAAAACATATAAAAGGAGCCTGATGCAAGGCTAGTTCTTTCACAGCTCAATTTGTTATTGGTGCTGTAATACTAGATAAACGAATGACAAATTTCAATAAACCCATACACTCTTACATTGCCTGGTTTGAATCACCAAGATCTGTGACAGCTCTCTACAACATAAAGGACTATGTGTAGGATATGAGTTTCACCCACTACAGGCGAGTCTAGTTCTTCAGATCTCAAGCAATACTGTGAAATATTTTACGGCCATCTGTCACATGAACAATGTCTGGCCTTGTTTAGTGCAGCGTGAGCAACTAACCTGTACATCATAACCATTAAACAAGGAGGTCATAAACTGCAGTAAAAGACAAACTCAAGGATGGAGACAGAGAATACTGACTCCCTGGGAGGGTTGGAGGACAATTTCCTACCAATAATTCCAAGTCGTAATTCAAGCATCTGTCACGATTTGGGTTTGACTGCCATGAGAATTGTAATTGTGGTGATGGTTGACTACAAAGTAATAGAATTGATATGGTATGTACAAACATTCACAATGTAATCATATGTCAATATATATTTTGTTAGGGGCATCAGTTGTAGTTGTTGGTGGTGCTGAATATTCCATCCATGATGACATTCAAAACTAGTTATGTTATTATACATGCTGTTCATGATGTTGCAGTCTTCTGTTCATGATGTTGCTAACAGCTGTTTATGATGTTGCCAATAACTGTTCCTGTTAAATAACAATAATTTCTTCTATTCATGTTACAAAATCAGCTGTAGATGATGTTGCAGTCAGAGGTTGATGATGTTGCTGACAAATGTTCATGATGTCACTACCGGCTGTTCATGATGTTGCAGTCTTCTGTTCATGATGTTGCTAACAGCTGTTCATGATGTTGCCATTAGTTGTTCCTGTTAATAACACATGAGTAGATTGCTTCATGTTCATGTTACCAAATCATCTGTGGATGATGTTGCAGTCAGCGGTTGATGATGTTGCTGACAGCTGTTCATGATGTCACTACCGGCTGTTCATGATGTTCAGCTCCTCTTCTTCCTGTTTGTCTGTCATGGCTGTGACCAGTGTGCCAAGGAACCTATAGAATTCTTGACGAACACCTTCCGCGTCCTCCTCGATGTTTGTGTGAACCGTCTTCATCTTGCTGAAACTAGCAGCTGTCAAGGAAAAAACAATCATGTTAAACATTCACTCACTAACTGTCAATATCATATTGTTTCACATTAATTTTCACATAAATCACTCCAATTTTCCAGCTATATGGCAGCTGCCTGTATTAAGTCTTGACCAGATAATCCAGTGATCAATATCATGAGCAAAGTTCAATGCTGTAAAACAAGTAACCAAGTTATCATAGGTTTCTGGCGTTCCCAAGGGACGCAACTCTGCACAGCAAATTGCAGTTCTTTTCATGACAGTGGAAAGTCTTGTAATATATATCACACAATACTAAATAACTGAAAGTATCGATGTCAAAGTAACCACACAAAAACATTGAATCATCTCTTCTTGTGACGACTTACCTTCTAAGATGGCATGAAGAGATACATAACTGAAATTTCTACAAAGAGATGTAGAGACCCATGTTTCTCATATTCTGGATGTCTTGCCATTTCTAATCAATCACAAGCAGATAATAAGACTTGGCCATGTTAATTGTGAAAGTGACTTGAATATTTCTGTATATATCAGCATAATAATAATTAGTGTACCCAATTATTTCTGGTTCACCATTAAACTGATTTTTCCAATAACCTGAATGAGTGCATCATCAAAAGACGATAAGTGATTAATTACTGTTCAGGTTATAAAATAAAATGTGATTGTGCTGATTATTATTCCTACAACCATATTGGCTTTCTTTGCAGTGAGTGAGTGAGTGAGTTTATTTCATGCCGCTTTTAGCAATATTCAAGCAATATCATGGCGAAAGACACCAGAAATGGGCTTCACGCATTGTACCCATGTGGGGAATTGAACCTGGGTCTTCTGTGTGAGGAAACGCTTTAACCACTAGGCCACCCCGCCTGCTTTCTGATTGCACATCAGGTTTTCAATTCATTAAAAGTGTAACTTACACTGCTTACTGCAGTATTTTGTTGTTTACACAGCAAGTACTGTGTCAACAGTCAAATCTGGACCTGACAATCCAGTGACTGACATCATGAGCTCAAATCAATGACTATGATGACATGTGTCAACCACTGATCCCATTATGACATGTGTCATCTAACCTGGATCTTCAGGGTGTCTTGCTACAGTCTGACCACCTGATCCCATTAGTCGCCTCTTATGACAAGCATGGGTTACGGAGGATCAGATCTAACCTGGATCTTCACGGGTGTCTTGCTGCAGTTGGAATGCAAAGATGGGTTTGGTAACAGGAATCTTATAACTTACACAAACTGCTGTTTAAAATTAACATTTCAATACTACAGCACATTATAAGCATGTATGAATAGCAGACTAACATCACAACACTACATAGAAATATACTGAAACAATCTTTACGATGGAAGTACATTAAATTGCTCCACAGCCTTCAACAAGTACAACATTCAGACACAGATCAGGGATTTTCAGCTTGTAATGATATCAAATGCAAAATGTATAAATATGAAAGGAAGCGTGTGACTAGAAGTAAAAAGATAAAGACTTCTGTTTTCAAGACGATATATACACTGAGAGAGAATTGAAGCAATACATCATGGTATTTTTATCAAGCAGCTCCTTCCACAAATCTGAAATAAAAACCTTGGTATAGGCTGTGGTATTATAGCAATTTATCTAAAAGATCTTCTAAATGTTAATGTTGTGTTAGTGAGACAAACTACTGCTAACAAAGGGAGGTAAGTGATGGAGGTGTGTATTACTCACACAACTGCGCACGTTCCTGGTCAGAAGTTTGGGGTTTGTGGTGTGCGAACACGACGCTCTGGTACTCCCTTAACCCTTGCTGCTCCACGAAATAGCTATACCTGGATGTACAGAGTAGGTGCAAGTCACACAGACATTAAGGGTTAACACCACTAACACTGATCGGAAGCTGGAACCGTCGGCACATGTCTTGGTGAATTGTTGACAACAACGGAATGCTGTTTGGATTTTGGGTTGGGATGTTGTTAAGTGACTGGGGTGGTAAGATGTTGTCATGGGGTGGATGTTGCCATAGACTGGGATGGTAAGATGTTGTCATGGGGTGGATGTTGCCATAGACTGGGATGGTAAGACGTTGTGATGGGATGGATGTTGTCATTGACTGGGATGGTAAGATGTTGTCATGGGGTGGATGTTGCCATAGACTGGGATGGTAAGATGTTGTCATGGGGTGGATGTTGTCATAGACTGGGATGGTAAGATGTTGTCATGGGGTGGATGTTGTCATTGACTGGGATGGTAAGATGTTGTCATGGGGTGGATGTTGCCATAGACTGGGATGGTAAGATGTTGTCATGGGGTGGATGTTGCCATAGACTGGGATGGTAAGATGTTGTCATGGGGTGGATGTTGCCATAGACTGGGATGGTAAGATGTTGTCATGGGATGGATGTTGTCATAGACTGGGATGGTAAGATGTTGTCATGGGATGGATGTTGCCATAGACTGGGATGAAGTAAGATGTAATGTGGTGGATGTTGTCATTGACTGGGATGGTAAGATGTTGTCATGGGGTGGATGGTCATTGACTGGGATGGTAAGATGTCATGTGGTGGATGTTGTCATTGACTGGGATGGTAAGATGTTGTCATGGGGTGGATGTTGTCATTGACTGGGATGGTAAGATGTTGTCATGTGGTGGATGTTGTCATTGACTGGGATGGTAAGATGTTGTCATGGGATGGATGTTGTCATTGACTGGGATGGTAAGATGTTGTCATGGGGTGGATGTTGCCATAGACTGGGATGGTAAGATGTTGTCATGGGATGGATGTTGTCATAGACTGGGATGGTAAGATGTTGTCATGGGATGGATGTTGTCATTGACTGGGATGGTAAGATGTTGTCATGGGGTGGATGTTGCCATAGACTGGGATGGTAAGATGTTGTCATGGGATGGATGTTGTCATAGACTGGGATGGTAAGATGTTGTCATGGGATGGATGTTGCAATAGACTGGGATGGTAAGATGTTGAGAAGGGATGGATGTTGCCATAGACTGGGATGGTAAGATGTCATGTGGTGGATGTTGTCATTGACTGGGATGGTAAGATGTTGTCATGTGGTGGCTGTTGTCATTGCCTGGGATGGTAAGATGTCATGTGGTGGATGTTGTCATTGACTGGGATGGTAAGATGTTGTCATGGGGTGGATGTTGTCATTGACTTGGATGGTAAGATGTTGTCAAGGGATGGATGTTGCCATAGACTGGGATGGTAAGATGTCATGGGGTGGATGTTGTCATTGACTGGGATGGTAAGATGTTGTCATGGGGTGGATGGTGTCATTGACTGGGATGGTAAGATGTCATGTGGTGGATGTTGTCATTGACTTGGATGGTAAGATGTTGTCATGGGGTGGATGTTGTCATTGACTGGGATGGTAAGATGTTGTCATGTGGTGGATGTTGTCATTGACTTGGATGGTAAGATGTTGTCATGGGATGGATGTTGTCATTGACTGGGATGGTAAGATGTTGTCATGGGGTGGATGTTGCCATAGACTGGGATGGTAAGATGTTGTCATGGGATGGATGTTGTCATAGACTGGGATGGTAAGATGTTGTCATGGGGTGGATGTTGTCATTGACTGGGATGGTAAGATGTTGTCATGGGGTGGATGTTGCCATAGACTGGGATGGTAAGATGTTGTCATGGGATGGATGTTGTCATAGACTGGGATGGTAAGATGTTGTCAAAGGGATGGATGTTGCAATAGACTGGGATGGTAAGATGTTGAGAAGGGATGGATGTTGCCATAGACTGGGATGGTAAGATGTCATGTGGTGGATGTTGTCATTGACTGGGATGGTAAGATGTTGTCATGTGGTGGCTGTTGTCATTGACTGGGATGGTAAGATGTCATGTGGTGGATGTTGTCATTGACTTGGATGGTAAGATGTTGTCATGGGGTGGATGTTGTCATTGACTTGGATGGTAAGATGTTGTCAAGGGATGGATGTTGCCATAGACTGGGATGGTAAGATGTCATGTGGTGGATGTTGTCATTGACTGGGATGGTAAGATGTTGTCATGGGGTGGATGGTGTCATTGACTGGGATGGTAAGATGTCATGTGGTGGATGTTGTCATTGACTTGGATGGTAAGATGTTGTGATGGGATGGATGTTGCCATAGACTGGGATGGTAAGATGTTGTGATGGGATGGATGTTGTCATAGACTGGGATGGTAAGATGTTGTGATGGGATGGATGTTGTCATTGACTGGGATGGTAAGATGTTGTCATGTGGTGGCTGTTGTCATTGCCTGGGATGGTAAGATGTCATGTGGTGGATGTTGTCATTGACTGGGATGGTAAGATGTTGTCATGGGGTGGATGTTGTCATTGACTGGGATGGTAAGATGTTGTGATGGGGTGGATGTTGCCATAGACTGGGATGGTAAGATGTTGTCATGGGGTGGATGTTGTCATAGACTGGGATGGTAAGATGTTGTCATGGGATGCATGTTGTCAATCCTCCACCGGGGTGGAAAGGAAGTGTTCTATTTAAGGTGGATGATTTAATAAGTTGATTTTTCAGGGAAAACAGTGTTGTACATACTTTCAAGATATGTCCTTGTCAGGTCTGGTAGACAATGGCTGCTTGTGTATGACACAGTAGATTGGGTAGGTGCATGTCTCTGTGTGAACATAGACCAGGGTGTTAACAGGGTGTATATTTAAGGAAGCGGGTTGGGTTGGTGCATGTTAACGTATAACGTGAGAGATGGTGCACATCTCCAGTGATACAACAAAAGCATCTTGAAGGAGAAACAGCTGCAATCATGGTATTAGAAAAACGTACAATGAGTTAAAATAAACATGACAAACAAATACCTGTACCACATGTTTGTATCAGATACCATGTAGAATCATATGACGAGACATAGCTACAACATGTATAATACAAAAGTTGCACAACAACTGGAGTGAGTGAGTGAGTTTAGTTTTGCACCACTTTTTGCAATATTCCAGCAAGATCCCAGCAGGGGACACCACAAATGGCCTTCATACATTGTTCAAATGTGTGGAATCGAACTGGGTCTTCAGCGTGATGAGCAAACGCTTTAACCACTAGGCTACCCCACGACAAGTGGAGATCTTGTTATTGCTGGACTTGGAAACACTTCACTATTTTCAAGCCATGTGTCTCCTCCTTGTATTTCATCAAGTTCATCTCGACATCTGATTTGCACTAAATGAGTTGCAGGACGTTTGTTTGCTAAATCCTGTGTTTTCGTGGCTATCTTTAACAAGCATTCTCTCATTTCATCTCCAGATTTTAGTTAGCCAGAACACAACCATAACATTACATTGAGACTGATAAAACCCCCACAACAAAATTAATAATGAATGACAACATAAAGACAAAATATCAAAAGCTCATGTTTAGGTTGCATGCTGGGAAACGGTGCAGACAAACAGTGACAGAGTTATTTCCCTTTCTATACTTACGCCCTTTACATTTGATACGGTCTGGGGCAGAAGGTTTGTGATGGGCGAAGCACACAGTATTACTGGCTTTGATACCCGCCACAGACAAAAAGTAGTTCATCCTAAAATGGGAGGTAGGTTGGTGCAAAAATGGCAATTCACAAAGGTGAAAGTATACATGCAGGTTACCTCCCTTTGCAGGTGAGTGTACCATATGGCTACACAGTCGGATGCAGTGTACAGGATCATGTTGAAAGATTCATGGTCAATGTGATAAGGAATCAAAATGGTGGCTACAATCTATCATGCAAAATATAAGAATAATGAGAACAATGACTTACCAAGACTGGCCACAGGGGAGTATAGCATCATTGGAATTGGTTTTATCGTATTTTGTCCTCGACCCTAAATTTTATGCAAACTTTTCACTACTCCCACCCCAAAACAATAAACTAAAAATAGAAGTAACAAATTAAAAAAAAAAATTTTGAAAATAATTACAAATATAATATATGTAAAATGTTTTCATGCTCCTCATATAATATACATTATAAATTATCAGCCCCTAAATAATGTTCAAATATATATATTACTTTCTTTGAAAAATAGAACACTAACATTTTCTCAGTTACTCCCCTTTCATACTTGTGATAAATTTTAGTGACCCCCCATTCTTTCACTCTTTCATATATTCCTGATATCCCATTCCACTAGTTTCATCAGCATCCGCCCTCCCCAAATTCCAACAGCATCCATCCTCCCCTATAACAAGTGACCAGTCTCTAATGTGAACTGTTTGTAATGCATGCAACTGAAACCCAAACTTAAACAAAACTATATCAAATCAAATATCACTGCTCACTAAGATCTTTGTGATCTTAGCTCACTACTTTAAAGTATGGGAACTGTGACAGTCTAAAAGATACCTAGGAAAACATACCACACACCATCACATTCACATCTCACAACTACAACTCCAGCAACTGGCTATATCACTAAACAGAAATAAACAATATTTCTTTCTTTTTAAGAATTTGTCCTTATGTTAATCCAATATCTGTATATATCTGTATATTTTTGTCATGTCATACCTTTCGCGAAACTTATGCCAGGCATATCACTATAACAGATTGGAGTGTCATACCTGAAGTGAGGCTTACACTACACTCCATATCATAACAGATTTAAGTATCATACCTTAAGTGGACCTACACTAGCTTAAGATGGAACCATACAGTGGAACCTACACTAGCCATATCACAACAGATTTAAGTATCATACCTTAAGTGGAACCTACACTAGCCATATCACAACAGATTTATGATCATACCATAAGTGGAACCTACACTAGCCATATCACAACAGATTTAAGTATCATACCTTAAGTGGATACCTATTTAAGTATCATACTACACTAGCCATATCACAACAGATTTAAAGTATCATACCATAAGTTTAAGTATCATACCTAAGCACTACACTAGCCATATCACAACAGATTTAAGTATCATACCTTAAGTGGATACCTACACTATATCACAACAGATTTAAGTATCATACCTTAAGTGGAACCTACACTAGCCATATCACAACAGATTTAAGTATCATACCATAAGTGGAACCTACACTAGCCATATCACAACAGATTTAAGTATCATACCTTAAGTGGATCCTACACTAGCCATATCACAACAGATTTAAGTATCATACCTTAAGTGGAACCTACACTAGCCATATCACAACAGATTTATGATCATACCATAAGTGGAACCTACACTAGCCATATCACAACAGATTTAAGTATCATACCTTAAGTGGAACCTACACTAGCCATATCACTAGCCATATCACAACAGATTTAAATATCATGCCTTAAGTGGATCCTACACTAGCCATATCACAACAGATTTAAGATATCATACCTTAAGTGGAACCTACACTAGCCATATCACAACAGATTTAAGTACCATACCTTAAGTGGAACCTACACTAGCCATATCACAACAGATTTAAGTATCATACCTTAAGTGGATCCTACACTAGCCATATCACAACAGATTTAAGTATCATACCTTAAGTGGATCCTACACTAGCCATATCACAACAGATTTATGATCATACCATAAGTGGAACCTACACTAGCCATATCACAACAGATTTAAGTATCATACCTTAAGTGGAACCTGCACTAGCCATATCACAACAGATTTAAGTATCATACCTTAAGTGGAACCTACACTAGCCATATCACAACAGATTTAAGTATCATACCATAAGTGGAACCTACACTAGCCATATCACAACAGATTTAAGTGGAACCTATCATACCTTAAAATGGAACCTACACTAGCCATATCACAACAGATTTAAGTATCATACCTTAAGTGGAACCTACACTAGCCATATCACAACAGATTTAAGTACCATACCTTAAGTGGAACCTACACTACCCATATCACAACAATTGTAAATATCATACCTTAAGTGGAACCTGCACTACCCATATCACAACAGATTTAAGTACCATACCTTAAGTGGAACCTACACTACCCATATCACAACAGATTTAAGTACCATATCTTAAGAAAAAACCTACACCAAGAATATCACAACAGATTTAAGTATCAGGCTTAAGTGAGACTTACACTAGGCATATCACTACAACGGATTTAAGTACAATACCTTAAGTGAAACCAACACTTGGCATATCACTACAACAGGTTGAGGTATCACACCTCTAATGAGACCTACACTAAGCCAAGCACTATAACACATGTATAGCTACACTTGTAACACCCATACCTTACTCTTAGACGAACACTGTAGTGCCACAACTACCTTGAGGAAACAAGATGTGGCTGAATCTGTGCATGCATTAACAGTTTACACAGCATGTTGCTTACCATGTGTCCAGTTCCTTGTCGTGGTTGGCCTCATCAGGGTTAAAGACAAACATGACACCAATAGCGTCTCGCGCCATGGACGGCCAGCAAGACTCGAACCTGTAATGTTGTATTTGACATTAGTCAAGGTTAAGATATACTGAAAGTACAGATTCTAATACTTTTGTTGGATTGATTCGCCTCTGGGATTCGAACCCACACCCCCAGAGTCAGGCACCTAATTGCCAGCACACAAAGTCAGCCACTGAAGCTGTGGTGGCTGAGCAGGTTAGGTGCCTGACTCTGGGGGTGTAGGTTTGAATCCTGGATGCGGCTCAACCCAACAAAAGTACTAGAATCTGTACTTTACTGAAAGGTGTAATCCCAAATATAACATGTGTTTATGAGTCAGTGTTTCAAATTTGTATGGGTCTTTTTGTCTAGATACACTATGTGTGGAAAAATATGTTTCTGGATCCATAACTTTATTATTCATAACATCTAACATATCCAGTACCAATTTTTTGTACAATTTTTGGCAGGAAAGAGCATGGATTATTCTTTACTTTGGATTGACAAAGTAGAACAGAAAACCTTCCTGAATAGCAAATATCCCTGTGCTAAGGGTGCTCTTGGCAGTTATGAGGAGAGAGACAAAAGCCTTTTACGAAAAGCTTTACACACAACAAGACCTTACATCCATCAATCTTGATGAATACTGTAAGGATGTCAAAATATCTAAATTATCTGATGAGGAATGTTCTATGCTAGAAGGCGATTTAACTAAGACTGAAATCTCATTAGCACTTAAAAATATGACAAATGATAAAAATCCAGGACCTGATGGTTTCACAACAGAATTTTTCAAATTCTTCTGGAAAGACTTGGGTGATTTTTTGCTAAAATCTCTAAACTTTGGTTATTAGAATGAAAAACGATCTCTCACACAAACTCAGGGACTGATAACTTCCAAAAGGCAATAAACCTAAAAAATATCTTAAAAACTGGCGACCTATTTCCCTTTAAATACTTCATACAAAATAGGAGCTTCAGCCATTGCAAATAGAATCAAAAGGGTTCTACCAAATATTATCAGTGAGGATAAAAAAGGCTTCATTTCAGGTAGATACATTGGAGAGGTTACAAGATTGATTTATGACTTGATGGAATATACGGAAACATTTCAAATTCCCGGCTTATTATTGCTAATTGATTTTGAAAAGGCCTTCGACTCAGTGGACAGAACATATCTCACAAAGGTTTTACATTTTTTCAACTTTGGCCCAAACATTATACAATGGATTAAAACTATGTATAATGGTATAGAATCACGTGTACTTGTGAACAGTTTGGCCTCAGATCCTTTCAAAATTGGACCCGGCTGTCGCCAAGGTGACCCAATAGCTCCATACTTATTCATACTTTGTGTAGAAATTTTAGGCATTATGATGAAAGACAATACAGACATTAAAGGAATAAATTTGGGAAACATTGAGTACCTACTTGCACAGTTTGCTGATGATACTACTCTGTCTTCAGATCTGAAAAATGCCTTTATGCAACGCTAAATACTCTCCACATTTTCCAGCGTTTTTCTGGTTTAAAGGTAAATGTAGAAAAGACCAAATTTATTTGGATCGGATCTAAGAAACGATCTAGATACAAACTTTGCAAAGAATGGAAATTTGATTGGACCCAAACGAGTTTCTCTCTCTTGGGAATAAACTTTGACATTGATCTTGACAGTATGGTTGAAAAAACTACGATGACAACTTTTCCTAGATTGAAAACCAAATGAACATTTGGTCAGCCCGAAGCCTTACCCTTTAGGTAGAAACACAATCTTAAAATCCCTCTTACTCCCTTAACTAAATCATATATTTTCTTTGGTACCAGATCTACCAAAACACAAAATTGAAAAATTCCAAAAGAAATGTTTCAACTTCATCTGGAGGGGTAAGCCCGATAAAGTTAAACGAGATGTCTTAGTTCTAAAACTTGAGCATGGAGGTATAAAAGCACCAAATATAAAAGAAATTATAGCATCCCAAAAACTAAGGTGGATAGCTAGACTACAAAATGGAGAAAAGAAATGGAGTAATATTATTACAAACAGATTGAATGATATAAATATACTATATCTTTCAGATAGTAACTATATTAGAAATCAAGTAGTTCCAGATATGACTAACTCTTTTTGGAAGGATGTGCTTCTGTCGTACTCAGTCTTTCTTAATAAGTGTAAAACGCTTGAGATTTCAGAAGGTGAACTTCTTAGTCAATGTTTGTGGAATAATGATGAAATAATAATACATAACACACCTATTATGTACAGATCATGGTACAAGAAAGGTGTTATATTCATCAATGATTTAATGCACCATGAAGGCAGACTGTTAAAAATCGATGAATTCAAAACGGTATAAATCGGGCTGTTTTGTTGTATATTTCGAGGTTGGACATAAAGAGAATACAAAGTGTTGGTCCAAATCCAATCTACCCTTTTAACTTATTTCACCATGTTCACATTACTGCACAATCAGGAAGTAAATACATATATATGACATTAATGGATTCTAAATATGTAATGTAATTTCAAGAAATTTTGTACATAGAAATATATAAACATATAACATATAAAGGATTATGTTTAAAAATTAGGGGGGGGGAATAATTGATTATGTTCATGACATGCAGGGCAGGGTCACTTACTTTGTACATAGATTTTAGGGGGTGTCATTCACATTGTATATGCTTCTCCATGAAAATCATCATCATCCCCCCCTAGCCATAAATTATGATCTGTCGCTTAGGTAAAAATGTGTGTGCAATGGACATGCACATTTGCCTTAATATCCGAAATAGAGTAGTCTCCCTTTGTCCCATAGCTTCAGTTGCCATTCAGTAACCATTGATTACCTGACCAGTAAATAACATGTCTATTTGCATTTCAGAATGATTGTGGAGTGCTTTAGATTTAGAAGGCATTGAGTATAGTGTTATTGTAAGTGCTCCACTCTAACCCCTAGATCCATTCTAGTGGTTCTAACCCGGATTAGAATTGATCTTCAGTAACCCATGCTTGTCGTAAGAGGTGACTAACAGGATCGGGTGGTCAGGCTCACTGACTTGGTTGATACATGACATCGCATCCCAGTTACATAGATCGATGCTCATGATGATGTTAATCATTGGATTGTCTGGTCCAGACTCGATTATTTACAGACTGCCGCCATATAGCTGGAATATTGCTGAGTGCGGCGTTAAACAACCAACCATGTGATCTAAAAAGATCAATGATCAGAAATATTGTTCATAGGAAAAGTTATCAATGATTGTTGACATGAAAATTAACAAAATTAACTTCTCTGAGTGACATTTAGAAGATGGTATGCTGAACAGGAACAGTTTTTATGAACAGACAACATCTTTTTGAGTGAGTGAGTTAAGATTTATAGTCACCTCGGCAATATTTCAGCCATATCGTGTCTTAAAAAGTTATAAATTAATAATAAATGGAATTAAATTACAAAAACCTGTCGACGAAGGACAGTAAAATAACCAGATTATCACAAACGTAAATCAGTATTTAAACCTAAAACATTTTACCTATAGAGTATAACACAATACAAAACCAGGCTGTAGATTGCCAACAACATCTTTATGGCAATGGATGCGATGTTTGATAACATTGTTGGCATCCATTGCAATAAAGAAGTTGTCTATCCATAACAATTGTTCCTGTTTTCACATGAAAATTGTGTCATCAATAATATCGTAGATAAACTTTTGTCATAAAATTAAATCTAAATTTACTCAGACCATACATGAAGGTGCTTCAAAAGTTTGTTCAGGGCACTGTTTTGTTTGCAATCCATGTGTAAGCATTAATGGTGGTCCGATTAATTGAAATAATCAAGATTGGTCGCGCAGTGACTAAACGACCAAGCAATCGATCATGTTTTCTCATAATCGAACACAAACAATTCTGGAACACTTGTTTTCATTAACAGTATTTTTCACTAGGTTGGTTTTGTCTGTTACATTTCATAAGCACTACAAGCTCGTTCCAAGTCATGATTGAATTTATCTTAAAGACTCTAAGAAATTTATGTTCCTAACATACTAGTCATCCTTTAAAGATGTGAAATTTTGCCCCAAACCCCCAAAAACAACTATGTTTTTTTTCCTTATTTTTTGGTACATTAACAAATTTCATGAATGACGCTTAACCAATTATTTTCGATGATTGATCGGGTTGTAATGAACCAATCATCAATTATGAGATTTTAACCAATTCCCAACACTAGTAAGCATGCTCACCAGCAATGTGAAATTTCTTAATTTCTTTCAGACTTTTTTTTCATTATTGTTCAATGTTACTTCTTTGATATTTATCAATAATCAATCGAAATTTAGTTACTGATCATTGATATCTATGATTTATATTGATAGCCAGCCCTAGCGAGACCATAGTGCAAGGTCTGAAGATATGGAAGATGAGGGGAGTTAGATGTATCGAGTGTTCTCATCAGAATTTGTAATTGTGTTGAATTTGGAAAAAATGATTTCTCTTTCAAACTTATTCTGAAGTATGATCAAATGTGACATGAAAGAAACCTACTTCCTGTCTCCACTGCAATCCCACAACTCCACTTCCACTGGTTTTGGTCGACTTCCACTTCCAACTGCATTGCCTTCAAATTCAAGAATTCTAGAAAAAGAAACCCATTAACAATATACATTTCCAATCAACACTGTTGTACATGTCCAAATTCAGCTGCTTCCACCTGTGATAAAGTAAGCAGTACAAACAATCAACTAGTGCTTATAAGATTACCAGATTATTCTTTTGCATGGGTCATTCACCTAACAGTTTATCTGTTGATTGCCCTCTTGGTAAGAACAGGGAGGGAGGTAGTCTGTGTTGCACCTTGAAGATGTGGGTTAGAATTGCAGCCCATGCTTGTTGTAAAAGGCAGACTAATGTAATTGGGTGGTCAGGCTCGCTGACGTGGTTGACACATGTCATCGTATCTCAGTTGTGGAGATCGATACTCATGCTGTAGTGTTGATCACTGGATTGTCTCGTCCAGACTTGATTATTTACAGACAGGCACCATATGGCTGGAATATTGCTGAGTGTGGCGTTAAACAACAAACAACCAACTAGTGTTCCACCTACCGGACTCCTTGGGTGGGGTGATACTCTCCACCTGACGTTTCTGTCGCATCGGCCAAAAAGTTGGACAAGACAGTCTTCCCACTCTGAAAAGTTTTAAAATTAGTCAACATGTCTGTGTGTACAAATTAATCCTGGATTTATGGAGACAACATCTTGGTGATGTTTGAGAACCATGCATACTTAGTATAAGCATATTCACTTCGCTTGGGCTAATTGGCAGCTGCAGCAAATTTGATTACAATCCTACCCAAACCACTTTGTTGGTTAAAATATTGAAACTCGAACCATGATAATGAGGTTTCGCCGATCTATCTGAAAGATATTATTTGTCTAGCCACACAGAAACCATGGAAACGTTCATTGTTCATCATCACATCAAATATTGTGATACAAAGTTGTTCTGTTTAGTATCCCTTTCAGACAAGAACCACTATGGGGTCCAACTGACAAGGTTTGCGATTTAATTTAACCATGTTCACACACTAAAGCTAGCTGAGTTCATTTGGTTCAGCTTGACAAGTTATTTATGAAACTGTCAGACAAAAACGCGTATCCACAAAGCGGCCACTGGGAGTGGGAGCATTTTCAGAGCAAAAATAGTAGTCAACCATACATCATTGATGCCAGAGCAAACTGCTTCACTTCAGTAAATTATCAAAGGTGACTTGGAATATTCATTAGGGTTCTACTGACAACATCCTACATTTGGCCCCAGCTACTACGTTTGTACCTCACATGGTCCAAGGACGAGGATCTTTGCCTTTTGCATTGTTTATCTGTTCCAGCGTGCAGACTGTAACTTCTTTGCGGCTGTTTGTTTGGAATGTCCACCGCTGTCGTCTGGTCGAAGGGGGATAACTCTTCTACCTCGCACTCGCATACCACTAATCAATTTGCAAAGACAATTTCTCTGTCGTCTATTCTTGTTCAGTAAGCACAAGCAGGATTTGTGTACCGAAGCAAGTGGAGAGGTTTGAGGGAGTATTCGAATTTGTAGAAAACAAGAAATAGTCCAAAATAAGACATCTTTCAAATCAGACGATTAAATGTTATCTCCCAATTCCCAAAAGGCTTATATATATAGACTCTTAACTGACTGACTGACTGAGTTTGGTTTAACGCCGCTTTTAGCAATATTCCAGCAATATCACAGCGGAGGACACCAGAAATGGGCTTCACACATTGTGCCCATGTGGGGATTCGAACCCGGGTCTTCGACGTGACGAGCCAACGCTTTAACCATTAGGCTACCCCACCGCCCCTCAGGCTCTTAAATCTTCATTTACGCAACAAATGTCTTTGTTAAAAAATATATTACTAAAATCTTTAGCAGATTAGAGCTAGACGTATCTTAAGTCATCTGACTTAGTTTCCAATATATTATGGCTAAGGGCTTTTATAAAGATCTAAAAGCAACAAAATGTAATAAAGGAGACTATATATTTTAATACCTTGCAGAAGTTCTGGAGTAAAAATGGTTGAAGCTTGAGTAGGACCAAGAGGTCATTGACAGTAAGTACCGTGGTATTATTTAGATTAATTAGGTGACAATTGTGGTGACATTATTATGTATTCGTATTACAGCATCGCATTCACATTTGTGATGAAATAATTCAGTCTGCATTTTCGTCAGAATTTGTGAAAAGAATTTTAATTAACAAGCTCAATGTAGTCCATCATTGTTGATGCGTCTTGGACCAGAAAGCAATCTTTGACTTGTAAGAAGTAACCTATGGCTGGGTAATTTGTAAGAAGTAACCTATGGCTGGGTAATTTGTAAGAAGTAACCTGTGCCTGGGTAATTTGTAAGAAGTAACCTGTGGGTGGGTAATTTGTAAGAAGTAACCTATGGCTGGGTAATTTGTAAGAAGTAACCTGTGGCTGGGTAATTTGTAAGAAGTAACCTGTGGCTGGGTAATTTGTAAGAAGTAACCTGTGGCTGGGTAATTTGTAAGAAGTAACCTGTGGGTGGGTAATTTGTAAGAAGTAACCTGTGCCTGGGTAATTTGTAAGAAGTAACCTGTGCCTGGGTAATTTGTAAGAAGTAACCTGTGGGTGGGTAATTTGTAAGAAGTAACCTGTGCCTGGGTAATTTGTAAGAAGTAACCTGTGGGTGGGTAATTTGTAAGAAGTAACCTGTGGGTGGGTAATTTGTAAGAAGTAACCTGTGCCTGGGTAATAATGTGTAGGAAATTAAGAATAAAATAGTTCAATGCAAACTGTGGTAAGAACACAATTTGCACCCATTTGACCCCAACAATGCTTGAAATGTAAATTTGTATCATAAAGCAGATGTATTTTTTTCAATGTTATATACGACGTCTAATATACCCCTCAGAAGAAGCGTATTCTGCGAAATTTGTTTATAGTGTTTAAAAGATATTACATCATATTCTAACACGTAAAACCAGGTAGAAGTATTCTTTGACTGCTGATCATGTTCAGGATATAATGTCACTAGTTCCATATTTTCAAACGAAATCAAACATGATAAAATCAACTGAGAGGTATATTTACTTATAGTTTTTTTTTTCAGTTATAGCACAACATATACAGTCCACTCAACGGAAGTCGGTGTGAACGCTATAAAACGGCTGGATGAGGAGCCATCCTGCAACAGGCATTTTCTTAGTTGTTGCCTGGGTAACCATTATGGTCATGTTGTCAAGGTGCGATGAACGTTGGAACATTGTACCCATGTGGGAATCGAACCCGGGTCTTCGGAGTGACGAGACAACACCTTATCCACTAGGCCCCTCTTCGTCATGCTGAGTCAAAAGAGGAATCATAAGAAAAAGGTGGCATGGTATATTTGAGGTAAAAGTTCCTGTAGGTAATTCCTTCGATAAAATGTAAAAGCCAAAACCTTTTCAAATGAACATAATTCCACTAAATAATTTACTCAAAATTCAGGGTATAGCGTTAAATCCTAAGACGTCTTAGACGAGAAAATATACTGAAGTGGCGTGACCCACATATAGTGAGAGAGTGAATTTAGTTTTACGCCGCTTTTTAGCAATATTCCAGCAATATCATGGCCGGGGACACCAGAAATAGGCTTCACACATTGTACCCATGTGGGGAAACGAACTCGGGTCTTTGGCTTGATGAACGAACGCTTTAACCACCAGGCTACCCGACCACCCGACACACAAATAGGCTGTAAAATGTCCTCAATTAATTAATAGTTTCTCTATCAGAAAATACAAAAGAAGGACTGATCAGATGATACGAAAATGTCAGTTCCGTCTGAACCTCATGGCATACATGGTCAATCAATTATAGTATGACCAGAAAATATTGAGAATTTTAGGAATATGTTTAATTGGATTTCTAGTATAAACAACCTTGACCAGCTATCAAGTGCTTGGTTTCATTCAAGAGAGGCAACTCCCTTCTATCCTTTTCATTTGTTTGTGAAGAGTTATCCCCTTTGTTTACTTGCTAACAGACGACATTTTCAGTGATCCTCAGTATGATGATTTGAGAAAGAGGAAGTTGATTTTCAGAGTATCATAACAAGGACATTAGATCAGCTAAAGTGATTTCAAGTAGAACAGGCATCCCTTTGTCCACTGTTTATCGTGTTTTGAAAAATATTGCAAATGGATATGGCATTGAGCGCCAGGAAGGCGCAGGTAGGCCCAGAAATGGACTGTCGGTGACAGGAGGCGGCTTGGTATTCTTGTTTCTAAAACAAACAAAGGAGTTTAGAAAACTTAAGGCTGGATATGATTGATAGAGGAACTGTGGCTGTCTGTACGTAGACAAATAGAACTGAGCTGCATGCTATGGGTTGGTTGAAAAGTCGAGGAATTCCATCACCGATCATGAAACCTGAACAAAGGGAGCTGAGGTTGAACTGGTGCTTACAGCAATGAAATTTTAACTTGGACTATGTGATTTTCTCAGATGAAAGTTCTGTGTGGCTGTTTCCTAATACACTGAAATTCTGGACCAAACAAACTGAAAAACCTTTGTATCAGCGCCCAAAGTACAGTCCGAAATTTAACGTGTGGGGTGGCATATTTGTGTTTGGGGCAACGCCCCTCTGTGTATTTGAAGGGAATATGAACAGTGAGCGGTACACAGATATTCTCGAGGGACATTTACTTCCATCTGCTCACGTGTTCTATGGAAATGTTTGGATTTTCCAGAAGGACAACGACCCAAAACATCGTTTAAAGCATTCACAGGCCTGGTTTCAGACCCAAAATATGACATTATTAGATTGGCCAAGCTATAGCCCTGACCTAAATCCAATAGAAAATGTTTGGGGACTTATGAAGGACAGTGTCAATAAGAAAAATCTGACAAATATTGCTGAAATGAAAGAAGATCAAGGTGGTCCGATATTGGGACAGCATGGACCACGACTTTCTAACTTCTTTGACCAGTAGTATGCCCCGCCGCATTGAAGCCTGCATTGCTGCCCATGGTGACTTGACAAAATACTAACTGTTCACCTGTCTTTGAATCTGGGGTTATGTTCTGCTAATAATCACAATAATACGTGAAATTTAAAAAAAAATTTACAATCTTTAAATTCTCAATAATTTCTGGTTGTACTTTATCTTGACTTCATCTTTAGCTGAGTAATGGAAATTACAACAATACCAAATACCAATAACAGGCATATTTATTTTCTTAACAACATACAAAAGTTATCTGTTTGTTGTCCAATCTCATTTACATTAGATCTGCACTCCGATAGGACACGTCTCTGCGAAATAATCTGGGGCATTCGTGACCAACTCGTGTTATTCCGGGACAAGCCGAATAGTGTTCTGGCTTTCTGAAAAGTTGTCTTCTCTAAACACGATCGGCATTTCCCCTTCGCCTACGGAATGGAATGTAGATGGGTCCTCAGATTATGGCGCAGAGAGGTATCGTAAGTGAAGGCAAGTTAAATGATTTTAATGAGATTGTTGTAGAGGCACTGACATCTGATTATATATATTCCCAGTAACATGCACGACAAAAACGCCATGAACACACTTTCATACACAAAATGGTCACTCAGACTCTCAAACATCAGAACCGGCACCCTCGGGACTCGAATAGATCCCTCAGTAACCTAAGCTGGTCCTTATTGGAGACCAACAGACCCATTCGTAACAACTCGCCTTTTCCCTAGACCTACAAGAAGACTTACCGGAATGACACGAGTAATTACGAATGCAATAGACCGGGACCCAGTTCACAAAGCGACCGCAGCGCTCAGGTCAGTCCCATACTACTACGTACGATAGTCGTAGTGATAAAGTGATCGTAACTCTCATACGTTAACATACAACTTACGACAGTCGTAGCGCTAATGATCGTAACTCCCATACGTTAACATACTACTTACGACAGTCGTTACGCTAAGGTGATCGTAACTCCCATACGTTAACATACTACTTACGACAGTCGTAGCGCTAAGGTGATCGTAACTCCCATACGTTAACATACAACTTACGACAGTCGTAACGCTAAGGTGATCGTAACTCCCATACGTTAACATACAACTTACGACAGTCGTAGCGCTAAGGTGATCGTAACTCCCATACGTTAACATACTACTTACGACAGTCGTAGCGCTAAGGTGATCGTAACTCCCATACGTTAACATACTACTTACGACTGCCGTAGCGCTAAGGTGATCGTAACTCTCATACGTTAACATACAACTTACGACAGTCGTAGCGCTAATGTTCGTAACTCCCATACGTTAACATACAACTTACGACAGTCGTAGCGCTAAGGTGATCGTAACGCCCATACGTTAACATACAACTTACGACAGTCGTAACGCTAAGGTGATCGTAACTCCCATACGTTAACATACTACTTACGACTGTCGTAGCGCTAAGGTGATCGTAACTCCCATACGTTAACATACAACTTACGACTGTCGTAACGCTAAGGTGATCGTAACTCCCATACGTTAACATACAACTTACGACTGTCGTAGCGCTAAGGTGATCGTAACTCCCATACGTTAACATACTACTTACGACTGTCGTAGCGCTAAGGTGATCGTAACTCCCATACCTTAACACACTACTTACGACTGTCGTAGCGCTAAGGTGATCGTAACTCCCATACCTTAACACACTACATACGACTGTCGTAGCGCTAAGGTGATCGTAACTCCCATACGTTAACATACTACTTACGACTGTCGTAACGCTACGATCGCTTTAACAGGCTTGCTGGTTTGGGTGACAGGGTGTCTTTGTATCCCAACGGCGTGGATTGTTGTTTACAATATCAATCACCGGATTGTCCGGTCGATTATTTTCCGACCGCAGTAAATTACCTGGGATATTGTTGTGTGCGGCATTAAATGACAAACAAACATATTGAACAAAGTCATAACAAGGCATACATGCAGTCATGCAAGGGTAAAAATAAAATTAAGTATCCATACAAACACGGGGTGTTATACTTACAGAGCCCTTAACATGAATAAACTAATACAGACGTTACATGACATCAAAGCTTTATGAGGCATGCTTATACTAAGATTGGTGAGTATTGACACTGAATAATGTTTTCATTCATTTCAGTTATAAATATGAGGTTGTTTGGCTTTAAGGCGTCTTTGTCAGTACTCGCGATTTAGCAATGGCGATGTAACACACATCAAGCATAAGCTTGATACAATGTTGGTAATAATGTGTGCGAGTGTGTGTGAGAGAGTTTTGACATGTGTGTGTGTGAGTGCGTGTGTGTTTGGGTGAGTGTGCGTGTGGAGGTATACTTAAGACAAGAATCTTTGAATATTTATAAACAACCATTGGCAGACTGTTAAATCACCGAATTTTATATTTCAATATGCATCTTTAAAATTATGTCTTGTATTTTTCACCTAAACTCTGACTCTGTCCCATTATATAGGCCAGGTAGTGAGTTGTTCCCAACCCCTCTGATGTACCTCCGCGGGTTGTATCAGCAACGACGAGATTGTGCCACCCTCCCCACAACACTGTCCCACCCCACATACTACAGGGTGCTATGAAAGATCACGAGTTTGCCTCCCCCATTCCTTCCCTCCCCCACCTGCGCGTGGTCATAGTGGAAGCCAACAACCCTTCTCCGCACCATTCGTGATACCCGATGTCTCCCATCACGTGAACCCTACATCCGGGTAGTGACGGTGGTATCACCGATGACGAGATCGTTCCAACCCCCATTTCCAACGATCATGTGGTCTATCTCCGTTTTAATGTTGTCGTCTGCTTCCACTATCTCCACGCTGTACTGAATCGTCTTTCCTCGCGCCCAGCTGTACGAGTTGTCAAAACAAAGTTCGTCTGGAAGTGAAAGAGGATAGGGCTGTCAGTATTTTATGACAACGTTTTTACCAATATTCTTGCAACATCATCAGAAATTGGCTCCACACATTGTAAACATCATGGGGAGTGTCCTGATCACGTATCCGTGTATTCTGCTCACGTATCAGCGTATCCTGCTCACCTAAACCTCGACGGCTAAATTTCAACTTCGTTCATGTGTTCATTTGAAGGTGTTAGCAGATCTCGTTATTTTGTGAAGCAGGACAGATGGCGAAATATTAAGTAAATGTTTTTCATTAGGTGATAACTAAATGAGAGCTTGAATTTAAAGAGTAGCACAGGAAAAAACACGAATTCTAACACTATCTGCATGAGGAGCTAGAATCGGCTTGTATTCTTGTAGAACCATATATATATTGTGCAGGTGCAAATAGATCTATAGTGGATTTGACAAACTTCTACTCTCAGACGACTCTACACTGACTAAATAATGTTTATGACAAAATTACTCACAGAGTTAACACGTAATCAAAGCTATGTCTGTTACATATAATCCCAGCGTCAGAGACCATATAATGATTAAGAGCGAGAGAGTGAGTGAGTTACTTTCACGTCGCTTTTTGCAATATTCCAGCAATATCACGGCGGGGACACCTGAAATGGGCTTCACACATGGTACCCATGTGGGCAATCGAACCGGGGCCTTCGGCGTGACGAGCGAACGCTGTAACCACTATGCTATCCCACCGCCCTGGATTAAAAGCGAAAAGCGAAGGAACCGCTTGTCAAGAACGAAGTCAAGAAGGCAGTTCTATGCTTGTATACACGTAAATGTACATTCTCTTCAGGGCTGAATTCGGGAGATTCATGAGTTTGAAACAGGCGAAGCTCGATGAAACTTACTCTATGATACAACTTGAATGTAAGTGTGAAAAAGACATGTATTTGAAATAAAGACATTTCTGGAAACAAGGGAATAAACTGACTTCTAAAGACCAGTTAGCAACCTTCCCGAGTCTCATAGATAAGTTTTGAGTCTATGCATGGTTCAACCAAAATTGCGTAAATCGACATCCGATTCGTAAAGTGCCCTGGCGATTTCGGTCTTTTGGAGGATTTACAAAGCATTGAACTGCTAACAGGGCGTGGACAGATATTTTCCTGGTCTTTTCATATTCAAGTTGCTCAAGTGACTCGATGCAATTCACAGGTGAAACCCGTTTTATTACAATACAAATCTTGATTACCGGTATCTCTCAGATCGTCTTGACTGGGCGCCATATTGTTTAAAGCAAATTCTCACTACTTAGAATTGTCACGCATCTCACTGTCACACCTCACCTTTGTGGGTGCACATCTGTATAATTGTACGCAATGTAAAGCTATATTTAGAGTGCACAAAAAGGCTTACTTGTGTCAGGAAGGTTAATATAAAATCATATAACATAAAAACATGGAAAAGGAGACGTACCAGACGATGACGTGACGTGACGCTGACAACTGAGGCAAAGATCTAACGCGGACAGACGCAGTGGCGCGAAACGGACATCATAGAAAGATGCCCATATCAGAGCAGAGACTTGACGCAGAAAGAGAAAAGAGTTGAACGCGACAAGAGGCAATGATCTGACGCAGACAATGGAGGCAATATGATAGGAAGCAGACGACAGAGGCAATGGTCTGAGGATCTCAAACAGACGACACAGGCAATGGTCTGAAGCAGACGAGAGGCAATGATCTAAAGCAGACAACGATATGAAGCAGACGACAGAGGAATTGATCTAAAGCAGACAACGGACTCAATGACTGGAAGAAGACAACGGAGGCAGTGGTCTGAAGCAGGCGACAGGGGCAATGATCTAAAGCAGACGACAGAAGGAATGACTTGAAGCAAACGACTGAATCAAGGATTTGACGCAGACGACAGGGGCAATGATCTAAAGCAGACGACAGAAGGAATGACTGGAAGCGAACGACTGAATCAATGATTTGAAGCAGACGGCAGAGGCAAGGATTTGACGCAGACGACGGGGGCAATGACAATTTGCTTGACGCTGACAACAGAGGCATTGGCTAGATTCAGACGTCAGTGTAGGACCTACTGCTAGGTGCTGTCTCCCACCACCAAAGATGCAGGGATCTGCTCTATGAAATAATGCAGGATCTTTTGTCGGAACAGGCTGTATTTGTTATCGAAACGCAGAATGTCTGAAGTGGAAGGGTTAACACAGCTGTGGTTAGTTGGAGGTAAAGGGTTAACAGTGTCATCAGTGCCCAGTAGTGGCATACAGGTATAGATGTGGTTAATCAGAACATGCAGGAACAATAGTACAATGATAAGGAATACGAATGATCTTTTAGGTATTAAGTGATTCAATGTTGCTGATGTTACAAAAGTGAAAATCATGGTATTTCACTCGCGTGATGTTGTTTGCTGAAACTACTTTTCATCTGTGTCATTGACACGTTATTTAGGCTAAATACACAAAAATAAAACAAAGGCATTTTAAAATAATATGTTGATCTCATTTTCCGACCTGAAAATAGTTGACATTTTAACTCGTGTCTGAGTCACTCATGATACATGAACTTTGTCAGGTCGCGCGATGAAATGTTGCTTGACAAGTTAGTTTATCAGAAACAGGCAAGGTGAAGGTCAACGTACATGTTCCCGCCTCCTCGCACGTACAGCTTCCATCTTCTGGTACCATATGACTGTTAACCCGTTCTAGGGGCACGATGGGAATCTTTGAACCCTCTCTCTGCAGGAACACTCCAAAACTGATGTCGAATCCTTCAGTTTTAAATTCCCACCTGGCAGACATTAAATCACGTAACGTAAATTAATCTAGTAACATCACAAGCAATTTCTTGCTGTGGGGTGATCTGCTTGTCCTTCGTGAAAGTCTTTTAGCCTTTAGACTAATTAAGCTACCCGGAGATCCGGGTTAGAATTGGTCTTCAGCAACCCATGCTTGTCTTAAGGGGCGACTAACTGGATCGGGTGGTCAGACTCACTGACTTGGTTGACACATGTCATCGGTTGCCAGTTGCGTAGATCGATGCTCATGATGTTGATCACTGGATTGTCTGGTCTAGACAATCTGGTCGATTATTTATCGACCGCCGCCATATAGCTGGAATATTGCTGGGTGAGGCGTTGAAAACAACAAACAGACTAATCAACCAGAAACGCCTCAGGGTTGTTCCTGCGGGTGCCAACAGCTCAAATTGTACAAGATCGAATCTGATTTTCAGTATGGCCAAAACATTATCAAAATGAAAAGAAGAATATAGTCATCATTAACTTCTTATGGTCACCACTCGACCATTCTTTTTTTACAAAAATGTTGTGATATTTTGGGTCTGTTTTGTATGTAGTAGAATTTGTAAAATGAAAAGAAATTCATGCGACCTCAGACTTTAAAAAAGGCCTGGCTGGTATATTTCCATAATCGACATATTCCGGTGATAACCGAGGATGGGGCTATGGTAAGTCTGATACTGCGGTACTCGGCAAGTTAACTGACGTCGTCCTCCTACCTGAGGATGCTGCCGGGCGTGTCCACCTCATACTTCAGGACGATCTTGTCTCCCCGGGGAATAGTGGTGGTCTCCATGTTGTCAGTATTAGTCAGGCTCTGCAGGTAGTAGGTCTCCGGTACATCACCGCCCGCGGGGATCTGCAGTCAGTGAGTGAGTGAGTGAACGCTGCTTTGTTCAATATTAACGTCACATCAAGGCGTGTCTATTTCACGTGGGAGGAACGCCAAGTGTGGTGTGGGTCTTTGACGTCTACCAAATTCGGTGAACGTTCGATCATGTGTGTGGTGCTGTCAGGGTGAACCGAAATTCGAACCCACGATATTAGATTTCTAGCATGCCCCAAGGAAACAACATTGCACGACTGGGCCAACCGTGGAGTGAGTGAGTGGTCTGGCGTCTGGCGCTGGAGGAAACCGAAGATCGACTAAGAGAGTGAGAATCATTTTAAGCCGCTTTCTGCAATACCCAGCAAAGTCATGACTAGGGACATCACACACATCACACACTGTGTATGGAATCGAAAATGTACCTTCAGCTTGTCGAGCAGATTTATCAACCACGACTTAGGAGTTTTATCACCGGATTGTCTGGTTTACACAAGTAGGTTTTTCACTGAATCGCCAATTCCTCATCCCCAAAACCTGAACACTACTTACAACCGATGTCAGTTTAACAGATCATTTGAAGTTAAACTACATAAAACCTTTAAAACATAAACAACCATTACATTTTTCAAATGTTAAATCTGTGTCTACATTCTGTTTACGTTTACCACACTCTTAGGTTCCGTATACATTCTAAACTGAATCCTAATTGAATTCCGAGAGAGGGTTGGCAGCCTCTCAAGATTTAGCACTTTGCCTACCGAATCTGTGCAATAAGCGTCGCCATCTTTGCCCGTCATAGCTCCACCAAGGAAGACCGGAAGTTGATCTGCGTCGATGTGTTCCAACAATACGCCCGCGAAGTTTCCTGGAAGAAGGAAGAGTATGTGATAGATACAACACAAAGGAAGAACGCAATATCGTCAAACTCCGTACTGCCACGAGAGATAACTTGTAGTAATATGACTAAATAACTTCTTCCCTAATTTCTTTGAGTAGTATATCTCTGCCAACTTACGGCGCGAGTCTTCACTCACCTCCAAGCACATGGATCTTGTTTTTCATGTCCTCGCTGATGAGCGGGCGGCAGAGCTTGTAGAGTAGGGGGAAGATCCGGGGAGCTGGCGGAAGATCAACAGTGAGAGTGGGTGATTCTTTTGGTATGGCTTACCGCCGGCCTTCAGCAATATTTAATGAGTGAGTGAGTGAGCAATATTCCAGTACAATCACGGCGGGGGACACCGTAAATTGGCTTCACGCATTGTACCCATGTGGGACACTTTAACCACTAGGCTACCCCATCACCCCAGCGATATTCAAACTCATAAAGCTACCCCAATGTGTTTAAACATTAGCAAGATCTGTGAACCAGTTACAAACACCGGACGCCAGTGGACAATACTTGACCTCACACATATTTCGGGGGTAGCCTAGTGGGTGAAGTGTTCTCTCGTCAAGCCGAAGACCCAGGTTCGATTCCCGTATGGGAACAATTTTCCTACACCGTGATTATGATGGAATATTGTTTAAAGCGGCTTCAAATCCAATTCACTCACACAAGAATAATGCAACGATTAGTTAAACCCACATACATGCTCTTCCATGTTTCAAAATACGCCGAACCCAACGAAATTTGGAGGACCCAAATTGTTCTTTGGTATCTACAAAACATGTATTGATACCAAAGCTTTGTTCGATAACAAACCGTGTCCTCGAACGGGACCTGATACATAACTAGTTCGGTATATCCGTCACTTCGTCATAATTTTCGTTATAAGCATTCGTTGATACATATAACTGCATGTTCGTTATAAGCATTTCGACAAGTAATTCGTTATAAGCGTTTCGACAAGTGGCAAACCTGACCTGATACACTTCGTTATAACTATGTTCGGTATATCCGTGGCAAGAACCTATACTTAACTAGTTATTCGTTAAAACCGTAGTTCGTTATAAGCATTTCGACAAGTGGGAAGGACCTGATACATAACTAGTTCGGTATATCCGTCACTTCGTTATAACTGCATGTTCGTTATAAGCGTAGATTTCTGAATATTCCATGCGGCGTTGGGTATCAGACAGATAATGACTGACGATTCACTTTAGAATGTAAGAAAATTCAAAACCTCTGTCGAAAACAATGCAAGGAAAGTAGAGCTTCATCATGTGGGGGGTATCTATTCCACATTGAATTGCGCACCACAGGGCCACCCGTCACCTCAAAGTCTTGGACGATCGCTCTATAAGCGCTAAACCCATGAACACAATATAGTTGGATGACATCTTTGAGCTGTGTGTTAATGGTGACTCACCGTTAACAACAAACATCCTCTTCATCATCTCGGGGTAGTTGTCCTCGAGGACTTTCACCAGGTAGAGATACATCTGTAGGCCTGCAGGCATTCAAAGAAATATGGATTTGGCTTGAATTATTGTCTTCATCATTCGGCTAAGAAAATCCCAAAATAAAAGATGTAAAATCATTATACATTTGCCATGATGACTTGTCTGAAAATAATATGAAAAGATACTGCTTTGCTGACAGCGTTCGAAATAATCGCCGGCCCGGAGGCCCAGCGCCGGTTGTTACTGTATCGGGCCGGCAGTTTCAAATATTTGCAGGCCCTTGTGGCCTTCAGTAAATTATCTGTTTTTTTTCCAACCGGAATCTTTCCCTTGTTTTTTTTTACTTCATTAACGTTCGGAAATCATTCATGATCTATCATGTTACGATAACTTACAGAAAGCATGAGTACATAACAAGTCTACGTCTCACCGGACGGGTAGACACCTGTGATATTATTGGAGGCGGAATACCACTGACAACAGGGTGGTATTGCTGGATGGGTCCATGCTACCTACCAGGTCGCCACATCATACGGCTGCTGACGCCCTCCATGTCGAAGATGACCGTGATGCCGTCCACGCGCCGTCCCAGCTGAAATTGACACAGCTGTCTGAAGTGGACATCTGAAGGGTTTTAAATATCTGCAGAACACTACTCTCACTGACGGTCCCCTCACGCTCCCCATCCATCCGACATCCACCCGACACCCGCTTTACCTTCTGTGACTGTCTCCAGTCACGGACGGTTCGCTCACACAGATATACCCATCCACCCGACAACCGCTTTACATTCTGTGACTGTCTCCAGTCACTGACGGTTCGCTCACACAGAAATATCCATCAACCCGACACCCGCTTTACCTTCTGTGACATCTTCTCCAATCACTGACTGTTCGCTCACACATAAAGACCAATCCACCCGACAACCGCTTTGCCTTCTGTAACTGTCTCCAATCACTGACACTTCGCTCACACTGAACAACCAATCCACCTACACACCGCTTTACCTTCTGTGACTGTCTCACCAATCACTGACTGTTCGCTCACACACATAAAGACCAATCCACCCGACAACCGCTTTACCTTCTGTGACTGTCTCCAATCACTGACTGTTCGCTCACACATAAAGACCAATCCACCCGACAACCGCTTTACCTTCTGTGACTGTCTCCAATCACTGACTGTTCGCTCACACATAAAGACCAATCCACCCGACACCCGCTTTACCTTCTGTGACATCCTCTCCAATCACTGACTGTTCGCTCACACATAAAGACCAATCCACCCGACAACCGCTTTACCTTCTGTGACTGTCTCCAATCACTGACTGTTCGCTCACACATAAAGACCAATCCACCCGACAACCGCTTTACCTTCTGTGACTGTCTCCAGTCACTGACTGTTCGCTCACACATAAAGACCAATCCACCCTACACCCGCTTTACCTTCTGTGACATCCTCTCCAATCACTGACTGTTCGCTCACATAAATAAAGACCAATCCACCCTTCTACACCCGCTTTACCTTCTGTGACTGTCTCCAATCACTGACTGTTCGCTCACACATAAAGACCAATCCACCCGACAACCGCTTTTACCTTCTGTGACTGTCTCCAATCACTGACTGTTCGCTCACACATAAAGACCAATCCACCCGACAACCGCTTTACCTTCTGTGACTGTCTCCAATCACTGACTGTTCGCTCACACACCAATATTTACAGACCAATCCACCCTACACCCCACCCGCTTTTACCTTCTGTGACTGTCTCCAATCACTGACTGTTCGCTCACACATAAAGACCAATCCACCCGACAACCGCTTTACCTTCTGTGACTGTCTCCAATCACTGACTGTTCGCTCACACATAAAGACCAATCCACCCGACAACCGCTTTACCTTCTGTGACATCCTCTCCAATCACTGACTGTTCGCTCACACATAAAGACCAATCCACCCGACAACCGCTTTACCTTCTGTGACTGCGTCTCCCAGTCCTTGACAGTCCTCTCACACTGCAGGATCTTCGTTTTCTCCAGGTCGAGTTTCTTGCAGGAGTACATGATACCCTTCATATCCAGATACCCGTACCTCTCCACCCGGACAGGCGACCCCTCTTTGTCGTACCCGCAAAACCCACCCGTCAGGTACTTCTGGAGAACCTACAGGGAAACAAACTTCTCAATCGCCGCACAGGAAGTATGGCAAACCTATATAGAAACATTACCTAAAAGTCATATTATAGTGTGTCTGAGTAGAAACCGTCTTATCTCGAAGTACCGACCTTCCTGCCTACCTAAAAATATTATAATAGTATGACTGTGTCGAAATCTTGTTATCTCGAAGTACCGACGTTACTGCACCCTGCCATTAAGTGCTAATTCTTCTAAGGTGGAAATACAGAGTGTCAGTCGACAAGTGTTGCATGCTTTTATGGTTTGTTGTGTAACGCCGCACCCAGCAATAGTCCAGCGACATGACGGTGGTCAAATCGAGTTTGGATCAGTCAATCCAGTGATTACCACCATGAGCATCGATCTACGCAATTGGGATACAATGACATTTGCTAACCAAGTTAGCGAGCCTGGCGGCCCGATCCCATTAGTTGGGTCTTGTGACAAGCATGGGTTGCTGAAGATCAGAGCTAAACAGGATCTTCATGAGCTATCTTGCTAGAGTTGGAATACCAGATGGGTTTTGTAACAGGAATCTTACAACTTACACAAACCACTGTTTAAAATAAACATTTCAATACCAAAGCACAATATAAGCCTCTAAATGTCAACAAAGAATACGGTGCATTTTGATAAATATAGATTAATGTGCTCAAACTTGACACGGAGACGTCAAAAAGCATCCGTTACCGGACTCATCTCTGGGTGTTTCCCCGTTGGTATTCATAATCTGCTCATGACACACCTTGACATGCACTTGACCAGATTGTGCAGGTGATGCTCCCAATGTTAGCGGAAAGATGACATGATGCTTTATAATCACGCAAAAAATCTCGCGATACCAACCGCGAGACTGGTGCACGAGCAATGGCCCCGAATTAGACGCCTTCTACCACATTTGTCAATAGTGTTGTAGGTATCTTGCTGTCTCTTTGTAATCGTTTGAGAGATATTATAGCTAAAATACATGGAATTATCATGAAACGGCCCTCAAACTTCTTCATTGTTTCCTTTTCTTTTCAACACAAATTCCATGTATTTTAGCAATAATAACGGTAATGCTATTTTTTTAGTGCATTATCATTTGCAGAAGCCCTCGGTCTTTTTCAGCTTCGTCGGGCAGTTAATGGAAGACCTCGGGCTTCTGCAAATGATAATGCCCTCAAAAATAGCATTACCCTTATATTAGACGCATTTTGTGTGTGTGTGTGTGTGTGTGTGTGAGTGAGAGAGAGAGAGAGAGAGAGAGAGAGAGAGAGAGAGAGAGACTTTTAGAGAGAGAGAGAGTGTGAGTGAGAGTGTGTGTGTGAGTGTGTGTGTGAGAGAGAGATGATTTTAAAGGGGGGTCGCCCATTTTGTTCTGGGGAGCTGGGGGGTCATCAATTTTGTACACACGTACTAGGGGGGTCAGCAATTTTGTACATAAAATATGTTTAAGTTTATGCTTAGAAATTATGGGGGTTGGGGGGTAATTGATTTTGTACATGACATGCAGGGGGTCACGTATTTTGTACATAAATTTTAGGGGTGGTGGTGGCCATTCACATTATACAAGCATGTACAATGTACAAGCATGTCATAAAAATCATCATCCTATCCATAAATTATGAACGGTCCCTAAGGGTGATGACAATCATGGATTCTCTCAAACATGAACAACCCGCTGTAATAAAGGTCCTTAGGTCAGCCAAGGTCAGACAGGCCTTCAGATGCTACCCAACCGGAAACCATAGCCGCTACAGAAAGAAGAATTTTATCTGACCGACGAATAAAAGTTTCTGAACTTCCTAAGGAATTCCAAATATCAGTGGGAACTGTTGAAACCATTATTCATGAGCATCTTGGTTCATCCAAGGTATCTGCAAGATGGGTACCTAGAAACCTTAGAGCTCAAGATCGCCATCAGAGAATAGAAAGCTGGATTTCCTTCTCGTCTAGTGACAGGTGATGAAACATGGATCCACCACTTGGACCCAGAAACTAAATTGGAATCTATGCAATGTGAGCACCCCACTTTTCCGCATCCGAAGAAGTTTCGCACTTAACCATCGGCTGGCATGGTAATGGACACCATATTTTGGGATGCAAGAGGAATATCTAATGATTGATTAGATGCCACCAAAACCTACAATCAATGGACAATGTTATGCTAATTTGATGAAAGATTTGCGAAAAATCTATTCGCCAGAAACGCCGTGGGATGTTACCAATGGTGTTCTATCTTTGCATGACAACGCTCCGGTTGACAAGTCGAGAATTGCACAGGCCGCCATGCGTGAATGTGGATTCGAGCAGTTAAATCAGCTACCCTACAGCCCAGATCTAGTCCCCAGTGACTATTTCCTGTTCCGGCAAATGAAATCTGACCTACGTGGAAGACGCTTCCAGGTTGACGAGGACATAAGACTGCCACAGAGGCGTGGTTAGAGGGCCAATCTGCGGATTTCTATAAAAGTGGTATTATAAGCTTGAAGGACAAATGGATTAAGTGCATTGAAGTGAATGGAGATTATATTGAAAAATAAAAGTGCAATTTTTTATACTGAAGTTGCAAAATATATTGAACGACCCTCGAAACACCCAGGTTTCACATATGAATCGTTTTAGACACCTATTACCAGAAACAGAGAAATCGTATTCTAAAATATATACCCACAAAAACTAATAAATAAGAATAAAAACATTCAAAAAGAAGCCCGGAAAACAGGTTTTAGAGCTGAGGCAATTTAGACTTGCCCAACCATTCAAGACTTGAATTCTTTTTAGTTTATTCTATACAGGGTCTAAGGGACAGACAAGTGTTATTTAACAACCTGAACAGTTTGTTACTGCAAATAGTTCCCATATAGATCCTTGTCACGTTGCATGACACCTTATTATCCATTACGTTCTCGTTGAAAAAACAGCATTTTAATATGCATCTACAGTTGATTTTTAACTGTTTGAAAATCACAATTCGTTTCAAATAAAACTTCCGTGGCTTGTGGTTTGACGTTTTACATTTCCCACCCAAACCCCAGAGTCTCTTAACGTCAACTGAACACGATGCGTGCAGTAGATCGCATTATAACGAGTGACTGCATTGACTGGTTGATGCGTGGCGTGATGAGGCGGATTATTCTTCTCCTTGATCGATGTTGGGAGAAGAGTAACCCTCTCAGTCGTCTCCGCGGATTAATCCAATTAGTCCAAATGCAATGTCATTTATTGTGACATGAATGAGAGTGAATTTAGTTTTATGCCGCATTTACCAATATTCCAGCACACTACGGCGGGGGACACAAGAAATGGGTTTCACACATTTACCCATATAGAGAATCGAACCCGTGACGAGCGAAGGCTTTAACCACTAACATACCCCCTCGCCCATGGACTGCTGATTACATACGTTATATTTGGGAATACACTTTCTCAGTAAAGTAGAGACTCTAGTACATTTTTGGGTTCAGTCTTTTTATGTCTGTCTCACCTCAGGTGGAGTGTAGTTCTTAACAAGGTCCTCTATCTTCATCTTTTCTCTGTAGGCCATGCTCTGAAGAACAAGATACGGGTGGAGTTGGATCGGGTTCAAGTCTACAGTGAGTGAGAGTGAGTTTTACCACGGTTAGGTTGACTGACTGACTGAGTTTGGGCTTTTACCACGGTTAGGTTGAAGAAACAGATCTAAAATGCAACTTATACAATGGAAATTCAACTTATACAATGGAAATTTTTATTATGATAATGCTTTCGCGAGTGGATAAGTACGTCATACTGATAATTACTGATATATGTCTGATTCCAGGAGGTACGTAAATACTAGGGCACATTGGTTTGTAGCAGAATCTATGACGAGCAAAACATTTACACTTGTATTATTATAGGATATATATATAGCGCACATATCCACGCAACTAGTGCTTGCTCAAGGCGCTGGTATAATTTTCCCCTCGATAATTGGATGTCAATCTCAACACCACATGGTATTATCAATCTCAACTCCCTGGGGAGTATACAACTCTTGCAGCCACTAGGCGCACCGAGTTATTGTGGCTTTCTCATCCTAACGGTGTACCCATTCACAGCTGGGTGGACTGGGACACATAGTCACGGTATTTTGTCCAAGTTCACTGCACGTTGCTGTACCCGCAGCTAGGTGTTTGCACATATTCATGTGGCCACCATCTGGTCATATACCAACGGATTCGTGGGTTCTTTTAAGTGCACAGGGTTGTGTACTGTACACTAGGGGTTGTGACAACACTGAAAGAGTCTGCACACAAAGTTGACTCCAAGGTTTTTACACCCGGTCACAGGTGGGCTCGATCTCGACACCTCAACCTCGCTGGATCACTAGCCTGGCGCCCTAGCCAGCTCGCCCACCGCCTATCATGAATATATAGGGGCGTATATTTTGTATTGAAGATTTCATAAAAAATATCCCAAACTTATTCATGGCCCGAAACTTGATTTCTTCAGTATAAGTCTACATATTAGTAAATTGGCAAATTAGTTGTTCTATGAAGGGTATCACGGGAGACGCATGGCTTACATGTACTCACCGTTCTAAACATGTGTTCGGCCTTGGCAACGTGGAACTGCCGAGCTGTTGAGATAAGCAAAGTTGTAATGAGTTTTGTGTAGGACGTCATAACATGCACGTGTGAATGAATGAGTGTTGTTTAATGCCGCTTTGAGCAGTATTTCAGTTTTAACACTGTGTGACGACTTCGTCTGAGGAGAGCTCAAGTGCCGTACCTCGTCGACGTGTATAACGTAGCTGAAATCAACGAGTATGGGTAGCGTATTGACAGACCAAGGGGCAGAATCAGGCAATAAATATGAAACCTAACTCAGCCCAGTGTCCAGGCATCCTTGCCTACTGAGCCACCTGTCCTTTACACGCCCTATATAATATAATATAATATATATATAATATAATATAATATAATATAATATAATATAATATAATATAATATATATATAATATAATATAATATAATATAATATATATATAATATAATATAATATACACAGCCCCTACTCACACAGCACAAATACTACCGTGACTACCACCACCACTACACTACTACTACTACTACTACTACTACTACTACTACTACTACAACAACAAATGATAATGATGTGCAAAAAAATGAAATATTAAACTCTTTAATAGACACATCTTGCCAGAGTACGTCAACCCACCTTTAAGCCATTTAGTCAACGAGTAATCATCGTGTTTGTCAGTCAGCAAGTCCTGGATCTGAGCTTTAAACTAGAACAAGATACATAAAAATCGGAAATATATCTTAATATTGGCTGAAAATGTACCTGCTGAGACACAACACAAGAAAACAGAAGACAGTTGCTACACAAGCATTGGTGAAACCCATTCATCTGAACAAGTGGCGTTCACTCCATCATGCTTGCCACCAACACTGTTTACATTATGGAAGTTTATCGGGACGGCATTTCTAATTTTATTTTTTTTTTATGTTTTAATTATTGACATGTATTAAAAGAAAAAAAAGGTATAACCTATTTGGAAAAAATGAAATGAGGTAGCGGATCATGAAGTCACGGTAACATGGCGTGAAGTTGTATGTAAAACGCAGACCTCTCAGAAACATTTGGCTTAATTTTGAGGGTAGACACTGGGAATTAAACGCATATACATGTA